CATTTTTCATAATGGAAATTCCTTGAAATTTCAAAGCAAAGGCTTTCATATGAGCACACATATGAACTATAGGTCAAACACAGCCATCAGGTGTGCACACACAGCTGCTGCAAACTGTAGACACACACCAATCAGCTGTAACCACAATAAAAGAAGCAATATAGGAATAACCATATATGGCATACCAAAATGTTTAAATCATTTGTATAAATATTTACCATTTGAAATAAAAAACTATAAATAAGAAAGGTAAAAAGCACTTAATTGCAAATGAAACATAACTGTGGATAAGTGAAAACACTGATAGAGAATGAATAGGTATAATAAAGCAGAAATGAGAGCAATCTGCTGCAAACCCTTGAAGCAGACGTGACGCAGACGTCACGTTAAAGCAGCGGAACAGTAATGGGGCAGACGCAGACGACACGTTCGGCACACGCAGACGTCACGTTCGGCAGATGAAGACGTCACGTTCAGCAGACGCAGACGTCACGTTCAGTGAGACGAGTGAACGTTGCAGCGTCAAGTTATTGACCCATTCCGCACGCCATAAGTCCGCAGTGCTGATCAGCTGACTTCTCTCTGACCTCCAGTATTCCTCAGAGAGCAGATCTCTTCAGTCCCCATCACGACTCAGCAAATACCGGCACGGATGTCACCTTTTGGGGTTTAAGAAGGGAGTGACAGCAGCTCCAGCTGAATGACACTCTTCTTTCTGCTAACCAATGTCTTCCTGAAGCTTTGAAGGTCTTGAACTGCTATCCTGCTGTGTGAGTTCAAGAGGCCTCTGTGTGTGTCACGATTCTGCCTAATCAGATGTGACTGTATAGTAAGCACTTTAATCAGCTCCAGATGATTAATACCTGAGCTCTTGACGCTCTGCATGAGGCTTTTCTTCACTGCTCATGTCATTTTATTTTGTTTACAGTTCTCTTTAGACCTGTCTGACATCTCTGATCTGTCTGTGACATTGTGGGATCTTCTTATCTTCTTCGCAGACATCAGTGGATCATTTTTACCTCTCATATAATTCAAAATTCTCAAAGTTTGTTCTTCTTGATCATATGTTTTTTTTTTTTTATGTAGTGTTAGTCTTTATGTCAGTGTTGTGGTAATGAAAAGATTATGAAACATTCCCATTCCAGCACTGGTTAGTTCTCAACACAGTTTAACAAAACGTTGCCAGATTGGGAGTTTTCAAGTTTTCAATAGTTTAAAAGTTTACTGAAGTGTTTATATAAGCCGTTTCTTTTGTTGCGTAAAGGAGCTGTATCAACCAGTTGCACTCACTTACTGTAAATGTGAATGAATTACATTTGTGTCCGACCAGGGTCTCGTTTACACTGATACGTTTTCATTTTAAAAGGCATAAGTTTTGCTATAGTATGGTTGCACCTTTCATTCACACTACCCTGGAGTTTTCCAGCCCGAAAATTGAGCTTTTTAAAAAGCTGAAGCGGCAGATTTGGTTTTAAAACGCTGCTGCTCCGTGTTAAGCCTGATTTATACTCTCACCTGGCGCCATGTTGTAGACCTCCGCTGACTGCGCGCGCACCTCACAAAACCGATGAGGCTTTTTTACTTGAAAATGACAGGGGGCGGTCAAAACTAACTGACCGTAAAATCACATGGATAAACAGAGAAGTGGGAAGTTTCTAGAACTACATCGTATCATTAATATTAATGAAGATTTTTAAACTAATTATTTTTAGTAATTGTTTTAATGATTCATTTATTCGTTTATTTATTTTCTTTTCAGCTTAGTGCCTTTATTAATCTTGGGTTGCCAAAGCGGAATAAACCGCCAACTTATCCAGCATATGTTTTATGCAGCGAATGCTCTTCCAGCTGCAACCCATCACTGGGAAACACCCATACACTCTCATTCACACACATACACTACGGACAATTTAGCTTACCCAATTCACCTGTACCACATGTCTTTGGACTGTGGGGGAAACCGGAGCACCAGGAGGAAACCCACGCGAACGCAGGAAGAACATGCAAACTCCACACAGAAACGCCAACTCATCCAGCCGGAGCTCAAACCGGCAACCTTCTTGCTGTGAGGCAATCTTGCTACCCACTGCGATGCATGGTGTCATGTAGGGCTGCACAACATATTTCAAAATTATTATTATCACAATAATAGTATATGGAATGTACGTATCACAGACATTTGATAAATGACATTTATTTTATGCATTGGTTGTTTATCAAAATTTGACCACTCAGATGGGTCCTTAGTGTCTTAATTCTTACCTCTCCAGTAGTTGTTGTTACTCTATTGGCTGAAGCGGTTCAATGAGCTAAATCCAGAGCTCAAAATGAATAAAGAGAGGAAAATGACAACAGCCAATCACAGTCAGAAATCTGCTGAGGTTTTCACTCATTTATAGTGTTTTACAGACTAAATGTTTGCACCTTGACACGGTTTTAGTCTGATTTGGCATTAATTAGATGTGGAAAATATATTTTATCTGTTTAATATCATTAAATAAATAAAATATTTCAAAACATAGCTAATAAAAATTGCATTTTTCCAGGGAAATGTTATATTTTAAGAAATAGCGTTTTTGTAATACTTAAGAATTTTGAAGAAAGGTTTAAAATGTATGCATATGTATTTGTTAGGAGATTGGAGTAAAGACGTGCAATATTTTCACATACCGCAGGTGAAGCATTATTTACTGTACAAAGCTGTTTAAATAATATACAAATAAAAAATATATTGATATGCAATGTTACCTGTTATATGAAAAAACATTCCAATAAAAATAAAATAAACAGTCTTAAAAGAGCTGATATTTTATATTTTATTTATTTATTTATTTGTTTGTTCGTTATTTTATTTGTTTGTTTGTTTGCAGTATACTTTGAGCTCTCATAACTGTCTGAAATTCCCTGAGTAGTAAACCCTCCCAGCTGGTTATTTTACTGTACCTCCTCATTTATTAGTGCTGCTCAAAAAGACAAATGGCCTAATAATGTCATTCTGCCATGGACTGGGGTCCTACTGTGTCCTATAGGAACATAATCAATCAGTCCCAGATGACTTCATTTTCAAAGTTGTGTCCAGTATGGAGACCCTAAACTTTACATAGAACTAAAGATGGTCACATTGTTTTCTTTTCATGCCTATTATGGCATGACAATGAATCCCTGTTTGTTTCAAATGCGTTAACGACAAATATAAATATATGACTATTTTTACAATAAATGACCGTGCTTATAGGACATCAGAAGAAAGGACTAACTCATCCCAATGTTTACAGACAACAATATTTGGATATTAGAAGCCAATATTCTCAGCACTTTGCTATTTTTACAGATGGTTCAAAGGTGGAAAATGGCATAGCAGCAGCAATGGTAACTGACAACAACATTATGGAATCAGTCTGCCTAAAGAATGCTCCATATTCACAGCTGAAGCCTGCGCTTTACTTTTAGCATTGGAGTATTTAGAAAGTGCCCAACAAAAGGAATCTATCATTTTTACAGACTCTAAATCCTTCAAGTTATGGAATCTTCAAAGAATGATCATCCTTTGATTGATAATATTTTAACTAAAGTTCACCAACTACAAAATTAGTTTTATTGCATCATTTTTTGTTGGGTTCCAGGACATGTCTGGCTTTCAGGAAATGAGCGAGCTGATGCAGCTGCTAAAGACGCTTTGAAGCAAGTGGTGAACAAATGCCAAATTCCTCCATCAGAGATGAAACCTTTTTATCAACATTTACATTTTAAGCAAGTGACGAAAGGAGTGTGATGCATTAGAAAATAATAATATACATCATTCACATCTAGCATGTCTGTTTTGCTGTACAGTTTTCATTCATTCATTTTTAGTGCTGATGAATGTTGCTCCTTGGAGAAGTGTTTAGGGCAGATCTGTGGGGCTACTGGTCGGACAGTGCTGTAAATTGCAATTTATTATGAAGGTAAATCAGCAGCAAATCTCAAGAGCTTACAAATCTGATTTTCAGAACTTGTGATAATAATATTTGCATGTGTAGGTTGAAATTTACACACACAGGTCTGAGGTGATAGCTGAATCTCTTGATTTGCACACACAGACAATTATCAAAACACCAGTGTTTTGAATTTGAGGTTGCAGAAACTAGTTATGTATTTGTAAAATGTCATTCAACAAATACATAATGACAGACACCAAATTGTACTGCAAATTTACCTGAGCGCCTTGTTGCGGTTTGGCTGTACAACCACAAATTGGCACTCACAACCTTTCAGATTTGGCAGTACAGAACGTTTGGCAGATGTTTTGCAATATTCCTGTAACAGAACTCAGCTTGTACTTGTAACTAGAAGCGCGGGGAAAAAGCTTTTTTATTTGCCCAATCCTGACCAATGAACAGCAGCCGATATGACTTGCATATTTTTAAATTTTATTTTTATTTTTATTTTTTAACAATTTTTTAAAAAGATTTTTGTTGAATGACGTTTTAAAAATACATAAATATTAATCTACAGCTTCGATTTTAAAAAATAAAGGTTTTGATAATTATGCGTGCAAATCGTGAGATTCAGCTATCACATCATAACTGAGTGTAAATTTCAACCTACAACATAAAAATATTATTATCACAGGTTCTCGAAATCAGATTTGCAAGTGTTCTGCTGATTTACCTTCATAATATATTGTGACTCATGTTTCGAGATATGTATCATATCGAGAGGCCATTACCAGTGGGTGTCAATGTTAGTGGATGACACTCTGTGTGTACTGAATGGGCTTTTATTTGTTTTTTCATGACCCTTGGGTCCAGGATTCACACCAAACACTATCCTGGACAGAAAATGTGCAGGGAATTGGAAGGAAGAGCATGAATTGTCTGCATGTTTGTAAGAGGATTCAGGAAACATGTTTAAAAACATCACTGAAGTCTGTTGACACTAGTGGTGCAGAATAGATCCCTAGAAGTAGTAGATTCCCCTGACCTTGCATAATATGCATGTTCTGTTCATCTTCTCTACAGAACATGTGCAGAATGAAGAGAATTATGGACAGGCACTGGACAAGTTTGGCAGCAACTTCATCAGCCGAGATAACTCTGATCTGGGAACAGCCTTCATCAAGTTTTCTGGACTTATCAAAGAGCTGGCTGCTCTCCTCAAGAACCTGGTAAAGGATTTATTTTATTTTATTTTAATATTTTTTAGTTTAATTTAATTAAATTTATTAATTTATTTTATTTTGTATTTAATAATTTTTAAAATTTTATTATGTTTTTTTTTGTTTAGTTAAAGTCATTATCATTTTTTATTTAATTTCATTTTTCTTTTCTTTTTTCTTTTCTATTCTTTTTATTGTTTTAATTTAATTTCATTTTTTTATATTATTTCATTTCATATTTTATCATTTTTAAGTTAATTTTTAAATTTAATTTTATTGTTTTAATGTAATTAATAAAAAATTATCTCTTATTTTAAAAATTTAATTTAATTAAAATTAATAAATTTTTATTTTATTTTATATATTTTTTATTTAATATTTTTAATTGATTTTTATTGTATTTTTATTGTTTTAATTTAATATAATTTAATGTAATTAAATTTTTGATTGTTTTAATTTAATTAAAAGTTGGATTAATCTTTATTGTATTTTATTTCTTGTTTTCTTATTTTTTTATTTAATTAAATATATATATATATATATTTTTTATTTAATTCAATTTTAAATAAAATTTAATTTAATGTTTTTCATTGAATAATTTTTTTTATTTAATTTAATTTTCATTGTTTTAATTTAGTTTAATTTCTTTTAAATTTAATTTAAATAAGTTTTTATCTATATAAATATATACATTTTTAATTGAATTTAGTTTTATTTAATTTAATTATTTAATTTAATTTTGTTTTATTTTATCTACCCTCTTGTACAGCAGAATGGTAATTTTTTTTTTTTAGTTCATTTAGCACTTTTATTTCCAGAGAATGATAATAAGTCGATATAAAATATGTAACATGTTTTTTTTTTTACCTCAAATACTGGGAAAAGTGTGTATTTGTATTTTTTCATTTAATACATCGAGTTAAAATTTAAGAAATATGTAAAATTAAATTCAAATTAAAGTAAACCTGTTTACTTTTTTATCTGTAGTTTCAGTGAGCTTTAAAAACTGCTTCTCTGATCATAAGCTCTATAACACTGCTTCTGACTGTCCTCTGTCTCTTTTTCTCAGCTCCAGAGCCTCAGCCACAACGTCATCTTCACCCTGGACTCTCTGCTCAAAGGAGATCTAAAGGGAGTGAAGGGGGTAAGATTTACATCTGCGTCTCTGGACTTAACTAATTGGAAAAGTCCCCTTTGAGGAACACCCTGATTTACTGCCCCATACCCGCTTTAAATGAGTCCCTTCGGACCCAAAAACGCACACTGTAAATTTCTTCTGAGTTAAATTACAGGCTTCCTCTCGCCACTGTCCTCTATGAAACGCAGCACTGAGGCAACTGCCAATGCTAACGCTAGTAAACAGTGTGTGGGAGTGTTTAACGCCCTTTGACTCAGTCAGTTTGAAGTGTTTGCTGGTTGACTGAGGTGAAGAGCTCAGGCGTCAGACTGACCACTCCTGTCAGACGTTTGTTGATGTCTGAGGCTCGAAGACAAACATGTAGCGATTGAGAAAATGACTTGCGCTAAAGCTGCTGTCTGATTGTTTTCACATTAGCACGACCCGGGCTAAGAGCCTCTGCAGCATCAGCTGAATTTCTGAGTGGAAGTGATGAGGCTTCACTTTTTTTTTGCTCTGTAGATGGAGGATGCATTCATACCTACCAGCCTCCATTCTTTCTTTCTCTTTTATCTTTCTCTCTCTTTCTTTCACCCTCTTACTCAGCGGAAACGAAAGTGTTCTCTAAAGCCCTTATTGACAGAGGCAGAGGCAGTTGAAGGGTATAAGTGCTGTCCCTGGAGGACATTATCAGCTCTCTCTAAAATCTTTTCTGCACTGGAACAGATGCCTCATAAAGCATTAACAAGCAGGAATAGCGATGCTCCTGTATGTGTAACCAGGACTCGCTCAGAGATACGCAAATCATGTGAGGAAATGAAGACAAAACACAGGACAGACTCATAGGTTGTTGCATCAGCATCAGCAACAGGAGAACTCAGAAGCGATTTAGTGAATATATATACATAGTAAAATAGTTTTTGTTATCATTTTCTTCCTCTTTTATTGGTGGAGTAAATAACAGGGTTGTTGAAGGATGATGAATAAATAATAACGGAGCAAGGAAATTTTTACAGTATGTCTTATAATATTTTTTTCTTCTGGAGAAAGTCTTATTTGTTTTATTTCAGCTAGAATAAAAGGAGTTTTTATTATTTTTAAAAACATTTTAAGGTCAAAATTATTAGCCCTTTTAAGCTATATATTGTTTCGATAGTCTACAGAACAAACCATCATTATACAATAACTTGCCTAATTACCCTTACCTGCCTAGTTAACCTAATTAACCTAGTTAAGCCTTTAAATGTCACTTTAAGCTGTATGAAATAAATCAGTTTTTAGAGATGAGTTATTAAAACTATTATAATTAGAAATGTGTTGAAAAAATCTGCTCTCCGTTAAACAGAAATTGAGGAAAAATACTAATTGTAAAAATGAAAACACTCAAAACTAAAGGCGTAAAGTTTAAATACTATAAATGAATTGAGACTTTTTTTTTTGCCACAGCTTACATTTTACAGTGCTGTAAAAATACCCAACATCAGACAGTGCCGACGAGTTTTGGATGATATCTGATATCATTCATTCCTGCTTTTTAGTGTCTACTAGATTTTTAATTGGTTGGATATATTTAATAAGTACTTTTCGGTTTTAATGAATTTAGCTTTTTGTGAAATTCATTATTATTAATTTTAAATGTTTTATAGATGCATCAGCAATAATGCAGTGCATTTGTTGTATTTTCTCATCGTTTTATGCTTCATGTGATGTGTAAAACAGCATAATAAATGAAAACCCTTAAAAATAGCAACGCAAATGTCAAACCATATAAAAATTACACACAGAAACAAGAGGAACGCCTGTGCTCTGGCAAAAAGCAGGGCTTACAATATTGCTAGCCTGAAGTCCCGGGCCTTTTATGTTTTTCAGTTGGGCTACCAAAAATTAATCCACCCTGCCTATCGGACTATCTTAATGGGAGGAAAAATATGGCATATTTTAGTGCATATTTCTTCTCTCACAAATTGGGTAATTACTGTATGTTGTATGTAATTTTCATGCAGCAAGTAACCACTATTAATATGTGTTTGAATTGGCTTTTGCACTAACTAATGTTAACCAAAAAACTAGTACTTTGGTACCAAGTTGATAAAAATAAATTAATTATTTAATAAAACAATAAGTGTAGGCCTACCAGCTTTTCACATGGTTTTGTTCAAATCAATCTATAAATATAATTAAATAAAATGTAATTATTAAAATAAATAAATAATACAATTTTAAAAATTATATATATATATATATATATATATATATATATATATATATATATATATATATATATATATATATATATATAAACTGAAGAGTGCCCGCCCAAAAGGCTATTTGAAGTTCTGCAAGCCCTAAAAAGGTTTAAACATCTATATACTGGCGGAGTTAATATATTCTTGGTGTAAACACATTTATTTTTTAGGAAGCTAGCAAACTAAAACACTTCAGAGAAAACTAACACACTCCAAAAAGACTCAAAAAAAAAGCCAAAACATCTGTGCGTCTTTCGTGATCGATTATTATTTGAGCTGAAGAACATTTGGGTAGCAGCAAAGTGAATAACGTCATTACATCCAGAAAATAGGTTCCTGAGAGTGGGAAAATCTGATAAAGCAATTGCATTACCACAGTCCATATCTCTCATATGCTACTGTACATCAGATGCATCTGAGTGTCAGAGTAATGTTCATCTTTATATACTGTAGTTGATTTCTTTGTGCTGCTTTATACTGCATAACAAAGTGTTCAGTTTAACAATTGTGATAAATGCTCAATAACTCCACACAGTAAACCTAATTACGCTATTTATTTTATTTCCCACACAGGACCTTAAAAAGCCTTTTGACAAGGCCTGGAAAGACTATGAAACCAAGTTGTAAGTATCATTAGCATGTGTTTATATTCTTTATTCTTTGGTATTAGTTTGCACAAGCTTGTTTAATGTAATGTGGTGATGTACAGCACTTTTACAGCAATCCCATATAGAAAACTGATATATGGCAATACATGACATATTTTACACAATGTATTTTATTTTTACATATGTTTTGAAATGTAGCAAAAAATGGGTGCTTATGTTTTTTTTTTAACCTGGTACTAGTAAAGTGTACCTAATAAAGTATATAATATATATACATTTATTACCGGCCACTTTATTAGCTATACCTTTATAGTACCGGGTTAGACCCTCTTTTGCCTTCAGAACAGCCTTAATCCTTCGTGGCATAGATTCAACAAGGTACTGGAAATATTCCTCAGAGATTTTGGTCCATATTGACATGATATGCAGATTTGTCGGCTGCACATTCATGATGCGAATCTTCCGTTCCACCACATCCCAAAGGTACTTACTGTCATGTTCAAGAAACCAGTCTGAGATGATTTGCGCTTTATGAACTGGTGCGTTGGAAGTACTACCATGCTGGAAGTAGCCATTAGATTTCCTGTTTTTAGCTATCAGAAGTGGTACCCGGTGTGGTCTTCTGCTGCTGTAGCCCATCCGCCTTAAGGTTGAACGTGTTGCTCTTCGGAATACCTCGGTTGTAATGAGTGTTTATTTGAGTTACTGTTGCCTTTCCATCAGCTGGAACCAGTTTGGCCATTCTCCTTTGACCAAGGCATTTGCATTTACAGAACTACTGCTCACTGGATATTTTCTGTTTTTTTTAACCATTCTCTTTAAACCTTAGAGATGGTTATGCATGAAAATGTCAGTAGATCAACAGTTTCTGAAATACTCAGACCAGCCCGTCTGGTACCAACAACCATGCCAAGTTCAAAGTAATTTAAATCACCTTTCTTCCCCATTCTGATGTTCGGTTTGAACTGCAGCAGATCGTCTTGAACATGTCTACACTTCTAAATGCATTGAGTTGCTGCCATGTGATTGGCTGATTAGAAACTTGCGTTAACGAGCAGTTGGACAGGTGTACCAAGTAAAGTGAGTGTATATGCATGTTTGTAATTTTGAACAAAAAACGTCATGTAAATGTAAGCTGCCATTTTTGCTATATTTTAAAATATATGTTGCATATACTGTATGAGTGTGTATGTCATATATGTAATTTGCATATATTTGTCATATGTCAGATTTCTTTGTGGGATAAACAAACACAATACATCATCATCACATTAAAACAGTCACTTAGAATCACCACTGTTTAACATCTGAAATGTAGTCATCTTCTATTACTGGTGTTTTCCGCCAAAGCACAAAGATCGAGAAGGAGAAGAGAGAACATGCCAAGCAGCACGGCATGATCCGCACAGAGATCACCGGCGCAGAGATTGCAGAAGAGATGGAGAAGGAGCGGAGGATCTTTCAGCTGCAGATGTGTGAGGTGTGTGTGGGCTTGTGAGAATTGAAACTTTCTGTTTCTTTTCTCCTGGAAGTCAGCTTGACGGTAGTGTTGATTGTTCAGCAACTTCCTGCCAAGATGTCTGCTCTTATTTGCAGTGTTGTGAAAGGCCAAGGGATTTTCAAAGGCATTCGATTTTAGCCAGAAGCAATGGAGCAAGTTTTGAAGTGTCTGGTTGAAACATCATGGCAGCGTCTCGGCTCATGAATATTAATTAGGGTGTTTTAATGTTGCTGGGTAACATTACTGAACGATCCATTCAGATAGCCAGATTAATATTCATGAGTCAGGCCTCAAGTGGTTGGAGAAAGGAATAGTGCTGCGTCCCAATTCGCATACTATCTGTCCTAAATAGAATTTGAAAATAGAATTAGCATGTCCCAAAATGGTAGTATGTTGAAAACAGTATGCCAAAGGTTCGCGGATGGTTTACTATTTTCAGTAAAAATTTTAGGTGTAGAACCGTCCATACTTTAACTGTTATAATTGGCCACAGTACATTACGCGTTGGACATACATTTAATTAGAGCTACAAACGGTGAAAAGTGTAAATAAACCACAAACATGATGGACACTTGAGATCAACCGTCAAGTAGAGAGGCTACGGTAAAGATGTTTGTATGACTGTAAATTAATATCTAGCCAACTGGAAAATATTTAAATCCAGTTTTCCGTGTTATGTTTAATCTGGAACAACAATATTGAACTTTTATCAAGATATGTTTGGACATCAATGTCTGAATGTATAATTATCCAAAGACCTGAGGAGATTTCTCTGCATGAAATACTTGTGAATGGGAGATTTATCCTGCTGCTGCTCCTGCTGCTGCTGCTCCAATATTATATTAATATAAGAAATTAAATATGACAGAAATGTAGATGATGTGTGGATGATTGACAGGGCTTGTAACCAAGCAACACAACGATCTGTTAACAAGGAAGTAGTATGTCCCAAAGCTTGCATACTGTTCTGTTTCACACTCAAAAGTATAGACTTTTCCTTCACAAAAAAAGCACATACTTTTAGAGCGAATAAATATGCGAATTGGGATGCAGCATTGGTTTTGAGTATTTGTGTGCAGAATTTATTGGCTCTAGAAATACCTGATTATCAAACCAAATTTATGTTTGATCAAATTTTTTCCCTGATATTTTTGGTATTTTTGTAGATATTAAACATACAGCTGGAGTTCAAGATACAAAAATGAGCTATAAATTAATTGTTTTCTTTTCGGCTAAATTAATCAGGTGTCGCCACAACGGAATGAACCATCAATTTATCCAGCATAGAAAACAACACTGGGAATTACTTATACACTTTCACACACACTCACTTACACTATAGTCAATTTAGCTTATTCAATTCACCTGTACCACATGTCTCTGGACTGTGGGAGAAACTGGAGCACCCGAAGGAAACCCACGCAAACATAGGGAGAACATGCAAACTAAGTGGTTAGCACCATATTTCACACACATCTCCTATCACCCTTCTATTTTGTTATTTCTCCAGGGAAACTCCTGTAATTTGCATGGCCCAATCTAGTTGCGATAAATCACTTCTTTGTCCATGTTTGTCAAGCTGCCAGATCTTGTATGAAGCTCATCACCTCACACAATTGATGAAATATTCAAATCTCAAAGTGTTTTTTTACCTTAATCTAGCAACATATGTTGCAACCCAGTCATGCTGTTGATTTCTGCAAAGGTAGTAGATGTGAAATTTAAAACGCAGTGGTAGCAATGTCAGTAGTTGTAGACCAGGGGGGTTATTTATAAAAAATATATATATTTGAAATTTCGGTCTTCTGAAATTTCGAAGACAAATGCTGGTAGTTATGCCTTTAGTATCAATTAAGCAAGTCCTTGTACAGCAGTGGTTTGTTCTGTAGCCAATGCAAAATAATAATGTATTATGGGGGCTAATAATTCTGTCTTAAAAAAATAACAGGTGCTTTTATTTTTGACAAAATAAAAGAAATAAGACTTTCTTCAGAAGAAAATAATTATTAGAAAATACTGTGAAAATTCCCTCGCTCTGTTAAAACATTTGAAAAAATAAAATAAAATTGTACATTGTTTTACATTAATAATTTTAACATTATTATTAATTGTACTAATAATTTTGTCTTCTATCTGTACACATATATGCATGATACAACTAATGGAGGCTGGTGCTAGGTTTTACATTCTATTTTTTTATATTTTCATAAACCAGATGTGTCTGGGTGGAGTATTTGAACAAAATTCTTATAGTTGAGCCGCTTGAACCACTTCAAAGCAAGTGTGTATGTGTGTTTAGAAGTGCAGTGTCTCAGATGTAATTTCCTATTAGCAAACCAATGTCTCTCTGTGCTTTATTGTCCATGGTTCCCAACAGTACCTGATCAAAGTCAATGAGATTAAGACCAAGAAGGGAGTGGATCTCCTCCAGAATCTCATCAAGTATTATCATGCACAGTGCAAGTGAGTGTCCCTCAGTTCGGTTTTCCCACTGACGTAATGTAATGTACATTGTGATGACATATAATGAAATATCATTTTCGAATGTTAGTATAAAATATAAACAGTACTATGCATATTCTAACGATATATTACTGACCCCAAACATTTAATCAACAGTATAGAATGTTAAACTAATGCAGTACATTTAACCTTTGCTTTTTTTGTGTGTATTTTTTCAGTTTCTTCCAGGATGGCTTGAAAACTGCTGACAAGTTGAAGCAGTATATTGAAAAATTAGCAGCTGATCTTTATAATGTGAGTTCAGTTTTCATTATGTACTATTATTGTTAGCTTTAAAACGCAGCTCTTCTTGTGAGAGCATCATAGTTATATAAAATATAACAATAAGACATAAGCAGTATTCATATATGAGTCTTTGAGAGTGAAATATTATCTCATATTCTGACAGGATAAAACAAAGCTCAAATCAGCTGTTCCTTGGAGCAAGTAATAAATGTTCACTGGCAGTGTCTTCTCCAGAGAGTGTTTACTATTATGAAGACATCTTGGAAAGAGGAAATAGCAGTGCATTTGTTTTATGTTATTTATTTCATCCCAGATTGAAACACTGCAAATCTGTACTTTCAGATAAAACAGACTCAGGATGAGGAGAAAAAACAGCTCACAGCTCTCAGAGACCTCATCAAATCTTCCTTACAGCTGGACCAGAAGGAGGTAGGGATATTTTTAGTAGATAGTTTTTAATTCACAATGGTTTGATGAGACTCTTTAATCTGTTATATGAGATATTTCAGAATAGTGCTGTTACATACATGATCTAAAGAATCCTCTTTGCATGCCGAGACAAAAAAGAAGGGTACAATGCAAAAATAAATATAAATCCTAAAGCTATAAGCAGAGATTTTTCCCCTTTAGTAGTGAGATATAAAAGATATTTGCTACTCCCTTTTGGCTTTTACCCTTATAAAGACAACTGTTTATTTAAAATGTGTAAGCCTTTAAAGTATCATGACCAAAATATCTAGTAAAGTATTATAAACTGTCATCATATCAAAGATATTGGAAAGTTATTAGAAATCAGTTATTAAAGCTACTTTGTTTAGAAATGAGTTGAATATGTTTTCTTTCCATTAAACAGAAATTGGGGAAAATAATTAATAATCAAATGCTATATAGTAAATTAGTGTAATGCGAATGTCACAATCTAATAACAGATTATTATTTAAAATTGTTAGTGGTTTATATATAAACCATCAATGTGTAGTTTTTGGCAAAACATGCACGTTTATACACATAATGAAGTATTTTAGTGCATAATAGATGAGTCTGCATTACGTCATTCATGGTGCTTCATGGGTGTGGAAGGAGCTAAAGATGATTTTTGCTGCACTTTGCTAGCAGCTTCACAGGTAATGTAGCTTGAACATGAATGCCATAAAATAGGCTCAATTAATGCAAAGATATGGGTTGTGTAAAAGTATATATAACTAATTAACAAACTCAAAACTCAACATTTATTTAAAAATATTTACAATTTGTTGGTAATTGCTAAAAAAATACTCATGGTGAAATTGAACTGTGCTTTTAGTTCCAAAACCTAACTCTTGCACTTTTCAGAACTGAAAAGCCATTTTAGGGCTGTTACCCATTAAATGACATCAATGTTGACCATTGTGCATGGCATTTAGATGCATTTATCTAGGCTCTATAGCTTAGAGATGAAATGAATGCATTTACAATTTACAGTACAGTTTAATAAAAAGTCAAGTTGTCAGCTCCTGAAATTTTTGACACATTTAAAAATGATCTGGAGCTTGTACGTTGCCTTATTTTACTTGTAAATTCCTGTCACACAGTACCACAACCACACAAGCATACGCAATTTGCACACAACTTCTCTGATGGGAAGAAAAAAAATTCCACATACAAGTTCATGCGACAGCAATATCGCAGGTACTGACTCCTTCATTTAAAGAATTCATTTAAAATGGTTATTCATTCAGAAACGTCAATTGCAATCATTCAATCATTTGTATAATTTCTTCAGAAATTGAATTTTTTTAAAAATGAAACATGACTCATTGGTAAACATGAAACATTGTTAAAATAGAGTAAGAAAAGATCATATTGACATGTATTGAAATGTATGTTATTTAAAGATGTAGTTGCCAAAAACTGAAAAATTTCATGAAATTGCTCTCCCTCAGGCCATTCTTTCTTTAGTAGAGCATTAAAGAAGATTTTAGCTGAACGTTATTGATAACAATTATTAAGCCTCAACAAACAGTCTCCAGGGCATTTGGGCAAGTAGCAACAATAGGTTTACAGGCTGCATCTGGCATTAAAGAACTGAATGAGTCCAGATGAGAATTTGCGTTTCATGTCCCGTTTGTCCTGACATTTAGTGCCTCAGAGAGAGCCGTGTTTTCAGTGTTTGTGTGCTAGCGTACATGTTCTCATGAGAGAGAGAGGAAACGTGGACATGGGGATCAGGCAGTGACAGCACAAGCTCTTTTGTGGAGCCCAGCGTTTGATCTTTTATGTGTTTTGTTTGGAGTCGATGTCCATTTGAACCGGACGTCTCTGGTCTCGACTGAATAACAAGGCTCTGGGTTGTATTATCCTCCAACGTGGCTGTGAATACTTGCTCTTCATTTTATTCTGTGCACACTGCAAATACAATAACAATATTCTGACATCTGCATTTCTGCATCTCTGTTTCTCTTTCACTGCCTTCCAACTGAAGTCTAGGAGAGTAAGTTCAGAACATAGCAAAAACATCTGCCAGATTGCATTTTCCTCATCTGTATATATTTATTTACTTATTTTATAATTTTTTAGTTTTCATTTTCTTTCATTTTTGCATTATCTAAATATAAAACAATACAATTTGATTTATATTCAGGGTTTCTGCAGGGTCTTGAGAATTATAATTCTTATAAATCTTAAAGAGCCCCTATAATGCATTAAAAAGGGTCATATTTTGGTTTGGGGGTCTCCAACGACAGTCTGATATGCATGCAATGTCAAAAAACTCTTTCATTGTCTTATAATATGCATTTATTCTTACCTAATTATCCCAACAACTCGCATATAATTCCTTCAGCGAGTCATTTGTTCCCAAACCACACATTAGCGCGATGCTAATCTGCGATGATTGGTCCGATGACCCAGTCTGTTGTGATTGGTCGACTGTGTTCAGCGTGAGACAGAGAGAAATGCCTACTGTGGCTTATCAACATTGTTGCAGGAGTACATTACAGCAATGCAGTTAAACACCAGCATATTGCTCTATTCTTAACAATGACACACATTCAGTTGAACTATTTTGAAACTTGACTGCCGCTGATGGTGGCAATGACAAATGGCAGTGGCTAGTGAGCTCACAAACACATTTAAATCTGTAAACAAAGTGGCACACGCTGTGATTTTTAATGTGGTTTTAGACACAATATGAGAATATCAAGCGGTTACAAGTAACAAAACACAATTAAATACATAATTTGCAAGCTAGAGAAAACAAGGAGGCAACCATTATAATCGCACTTACTTACACTTGTGAAATGGAGGAGGAAACTGATCCATAAACTGCACTGTAAATAGTCACACTTTAGAGCTCAGCGTCTTCACGACATGATTCAACTGGGATCTGCTACCGTGTTTGTGGGCGCAGTTGGGGGTTTAAATTCGATGGGCGGGGCTTGAGTTCCGTATTAACGTCATTCCGACGCTGCTTAAGACTCGTTACAGCGGCAATTCATTTGAATCACTGTAATTCGACTCTTTTATAGATGAATCAATAGTTTTAAACATGGCACACTTTCAAATTAAAGACTTAGCTGGATATTTCACTTCAATTAGAGCTGTGTTAAACACTGCATGGAAGGTCATTTTCAAAAACCCATAATAGGCGCTCTTAAATTCACTTAATTTCTTAATGTTCCTGTGTCAGTGTAACATAACCTCTATATAACCTCTAACATAACTGAAATGCTCATACATTGTCTTATTAAAATATATTATGTATTACAACTGCAAATGACTTCATCAATGTGATACGGGTCTTTACTTTAACTAATTATGGTCTTAAAGTCTTAAATGTGATGTGGTTAAAACCAGCTGAAACCCTGTATTGTCATTATTGTGGATACATTGGATGCTAGAATAAAATAAGAACTATTTCTTTGTTTTACATATTTCTTTGTACTACTTTTGTTTACACGTTTATTGCTTTATGGTGTTTATGACTCAGTTTATGACTGTATATTGGCATGCTAATGTGCTCAGTACTGTTCATGGGTCAGATTATGAGTGATTTTGTGATGATGTGCAGGATTCTCAGAGTAAGCAGAGCGGTTACAGCATGCACCAGCTGCAGGGCAATAAGGAGTTTGGCAGTGAGAAGAAGGGCTATCTCTTTAAGAAGAGTGATGGGTGAGCGCGCACACTTCTGTGAATTAGAGTCTGATGTTGTGGTTGTTGTATATTCTGTGTAGAGGGACTTAATTGTCACTTAATCATCGTGTCTAATGGAATTTGCTACACTGTAATTGATAGATTTAGCATTAACACATTGTTGCAGCTCTAGTGTCGAGACATGTAAATACATACAATACAAACACCATTGCTTAGAAAACTCTTTTTACTTCAACAACATTTTTATAAATAATAAAAAACATAATTTGATACAAATTCACATGGTAATTGGTTAGAAAATGATGTCAGAATTGTTAAAAAAGCATTAGTGACACCAATGCCAAGTTTTAACTTGTCAATTTGTTAGAAAAGAGTTTATGTGACATTCACACTGTCCAATAAAAATTGTAGATTTGTGGTAAATGATGAAAGATGAAGATGAAAATGTGTCCCAAACTGTCAAACAACAATCTTACACAGCTTAGATTTTTTCTCTCTGCATTAGAACATTTAATATTCAATAAAACTGAACAACCACCAATCATACATATCATGATATACAAAATATTTAATATTTATAAATGTCTAGAATATTTAGAACAATAATCATTTGATGGTATGTTATTAAATTTATTATATTGACAGATAATACAACTGAGCAAAGTCAATTATTAATTTACATATTTAAAGAAGTACAGGTCAAAATAAGCATGCTGTTTTATTTTTAAAAATATATTTTTGTTGTTCTGAAGAAAACATCATTTTGACTTTGAAGGCTAAACTTGAGCTGTCAATGAAAATCTAATAGATGTCTAAAAATAGCCCAAAACTAGACTAGTCATCAAATAGACAGATTAGACAGACTTTATATGTGTAGTCATTCATTTCTGTTTATTTGATGGCTAGTCTAGTTTTGATAGCCCAAATTTAGCCTTGTTTTAGCCAAAATGACTATGTTTAGACGTCTTTTAGACATCTATTAGACATCTTTTAAAATCAAAAATTGCTTGCATTTTATTAACTTTATATGTGTCTAATATTACTTTTAAAGACTCAATATGGTGCAAAAATTGAAGGTTTTTTCTACCTTTGACTCTTGTAAATAATCTGGTTTTGTGGTCTCATTTTGTACAAACATTTAAGTAATTTGCTGTAATGACCAAGTTGAACCATTAAAAGATTTTAGCAATTTATAATACATCAATAAATATATAGTGTAGCTATAGGAAGTAAATATATTGCAGCTTAGGGAAAATTAAAAGATTATCAATCACCTAACATAACAACTCCTATTTTAATTAATCTTTATTTCTATAGCACTTTTACAATGTAGAATGTGTCAAAGCAGCTTAACAGAAGTTTTAGTAAATTGAAACTGTCAGTTCAGTTTTCAGAGTTGAAGTTCAGTTCAGTGTGGTTTAATTTTCACTGCTGAAAGTCCAAACACTTAAGAGCAAATCCATCAATGTGCAGCTCTACAAATCCCGAACTATGCAAGCCAGTGGCGAGGAACAAACTTCACCAATTGACAAAAGTGAAGGAAAAAAAACTCGAGAGAAACCAGGCTCAGTTGGGCACGACCATTTATCCTCTGGCCAAACTTCCTGTGCAGAGCTGGAGTCTAGGCGCTGATTTTAAACTACTATATTTGCAGCCTGTTGTATAAATTTTGTTCTTATTATTTTGTATATATTTTCTTGTGGACAGAATTGCATGGGTTTCAAAGTTCATTTAGTACCTCTAATTACCTTTTTACTTAAAAAATTGATAAAACTGAATTGTTTTTTTTCTTAAATGGAAAAAATCCAACTTTTTCCCTTCTCTGTTCCAATGACCAAAATCTGTTTGAGATGCTAAGGAAGAGTAAAATGATTTTGTTTCGACAGGATCCGTAAGGTGTGGCAGAGGAGGAAGTGCTCAGTGAAAAATGGCATCCTCACCATCTCTCATGCCACAGTGAGTACTTCAATCACCTCGATTACAGAGTAAACTAACACTTTTTTTGACTTACATGAACATTAAGCAAAAAGACTGCTTTAGTTTCCACACTTTTAGTCAAAACCCGCCGTGTAAAGGTGAGCACAGGGGGGTTGGTGATGCCCTGTTACCATAGAAACATGCACCCGGTGCGGTCTGAGTCATACTCTAATGATATTAGCAGGAACGAGATCCAGCGTGCTCCGGGCCGCAGGTGGTCTGTGAGTTTCCTCATGTAATCTGCTGTGAGGAGACTCATGCTCAGCAGACGCTGTGAGGAGTGAATGCATTTCCCTCTCCAGTCTCTGCGCTGCTGCATGCTCTTATTCCTGTCTGATAGCATTTTAATGTGCTGCAATTTTCTGCCATCACATCTGCATGTTTCATCAACAAAAAAAGTGCTGCTATTTTTGTTTGCAGTCACCTTGGGTTTATTTGAATGATTTCGTTATTGTTTTGTTGTTCTTATTAATTATACAGAAACATAGGAATAAGTCCTCATAGGAGCTACATTTAAAATGCATTTGATTATTTTCTGAATTTATTGACCATTACTATTGTTTTTTTTTCTTTAATCTGAAACTTGGATACTCAATTTGCAGCCAGTTTTTTTATATTTGAAGTATATTTTCTACAATGCTGCACAGATGCCATGTATGAACTAATTGGCAGTCCTTTATTTCATCAAGGCTGTTATTATTACCAATATGGATCTGTAGCCATCTGTTTTACCGCACTGCTTCTAGCAAAGGCTTTTTTCCCCCCAAGAGATTTTTCTTTTTTGTACAACAAAATCAGCAAATCATTCTCTCCATTTACAAAAAAAGCATCACTTCATTTTTTATTCGTATAGCGCTTTTACAATGTAGAATGTGTCAAAGCAGCATCACATTAAAGATTACAGTGAATTGTAACAGTGTCAGTCCAGCTTTCAGAGTCGATGTTCAGTTCAGATTAGTTCAGTTGAGTGTGGTTTAATTTTCACTGCTGAAAGTCCAAACACTAAAGAGCAAATCCATCGATGCGCAGCTCCACGGGTCCCGAACCATGCAAGCCAACCGCGAGGAAAAAACTTCACCAGTTGGCCAAAGTGAAGAATTAAAAAACCTTGAGAGAAACCAGGCTCAGTTGTGCACGACTATTTCTCCTCTGGCCAAACGTCTTGTGCAGAGCTGCAGGCTAGGCGCCGGAGGCCTTCAGTTTAAGGACACTGTAGACTCATTGTAGACTAGCTGCTTATGCGTATTACTAGCATATTGGCTTTTAATTAGTAGTTAAAAAGCATGCATTAATGCTAAAGGTTATTGCACACTGAATCCGAAATTTTTGTCTGTAATTTTTGCATGTTAAAAAATAAATTTGACCTCACGTTGTGTGAATCGTATTGACACACTGCCTCCGAAACCTTCATCCATCAAAAAATAATAATAATAGAGTTATGATGACACGAGTGAGAGTAACTGAGATGAGTTTCGTGAATGGAACCCTTCGCTTACAGAAGATGTATAAATAAATAAATAAATAAATAAATAAATAAATAAATAAAGATTGAATACTTCAATAGGGTATATGCCGAAGCATGCTATCAGGACTTTTAATTTGCCAGTAACCTGGGTTAAGCGCTTCTGGCGAATTGAATGCCAATGCAAAATCCAGTGCATTTAAGGTCTGTTTTCTTTAAAAATCAGCGATCTCTACTTGCTGAGTGATATCCGATTTAAAGTGGATCTCAGATTGTACAAGAAGCACTGCATTAAATTACATTTCCCCCGTTATATCTTTATAATATGAGCATTTATTTTACCCCAGTATATTCAATGGAGCTTCTGCGCTAGCCTGCCGATTCTGACGGGCGCGTGCGAGTAAACAGCTTTTTGTCTCGTTTTACGCTTGGGCAACCAAATAAATGCCAAAGTTTATTTAACTGAATGTATTTTAATGACATTACAACATCGATGCTGTATAAGGAACCGTATAAAATGGACAAAAGTTCACAATAACAGGTCACCGGAAGTGTATTAGCATGGGAACGGCACTAGCTCGGCATATACCCTATTACAATACCGAAGTGATTAAGTAAATTGTTCCATGTGTGATTAAGTTTAAAACAGCAACAACAGATATTTGTGTTCCATGTAGCATAAATGTCTGTTTTAATCTCACCAAAAAGCCTAATTTTTGGCCACACTACAGTCAATATTATTATTTTACATTTATTTGTAAACCTAGTGCTTTTTAAAATGCGTTTCACTTCTTGTCCTGGCTTTGTCCATAAAAATTATAATAATTTTACGTTTTAATCAATTAAAAGTAATTAAACTTTAAAAAAGTAAAAAAAAAGATAAAAAAGTAGACTGAGAATGTTAATGAAAGTTTATGAAGGGGTGCATTTTGCGGCAGGGGTGTGTTTCTTGGCACAACACCGGGTTCGTTTTTTGTGAAAAAGTGTTTGTTCAACATAATACAGGTGGTAAAAAACTGATAATAATCGAATGACCCTTGAATCATACAAAAATAGAGCTTTAGTTAAAATAGAGCAATTATGCACATTTATTTCAACATTTAAATCAGCCACAGATTGAAAACGCATGTGCGTTACTCTTGACCGCATGCTGAGAAAAAATCTAAAGTAAAACTGAAATACAGTATAATATAGTGCAGTACTTTAAACATCCAATAGGTGGGAGGTCAAAAGCACAAGTGGTTGTATGCAGATTAATAATTGTGATTCAAAAACATATATTTTGGTGGTCGAATCTCGTTATATTTTTGACTTCAGTTGCGGGCCAGGAGTAAGAGACCCCTGCTATAGACCTTGCTTAGTGAATTCAGGTTTACTTTTTTGCATGTAATATTTTTGGACATGCCTTCCTTAGTTATATTTGTCCTGTCTCTTGATGTGTAGCTCACTCACTTACTAACTGTAATTACTGTACTCCCTGTCCAGTCCAACAGGCAGCCGGTGAGACTGAATCTGCTGACCTGCCAGGTTAAACCCAGTGGAGAGGATAAGAAGTGCTTTGACCTCATCTCTCGTGAGTGTCTACACAGAAACTAAACTTCAGAGTACTTTCATGCGTGCCGAGTGCTCGAAGTGTAACTCCATTACTGAGCCAGAGAGCACTCAGTGCAGTGTTGAGGGACTGAAGGCCAGTTAGCGTAATGGACTTTCTTCATCCTAATAATCTCTCTGCCTCTTTCCCTCTGCAGATAATCGAACATATCATTTCCAGGCAGAGGACGAACAGGAGTTTGTGATGTAAGTGTGAATGTGTGAGGTCGAGATCTTCATCTGTTATTTCCCTCATGTGTGTAAATGAGATGTGTGTATCTGAGCTTCTGCGTGTTAACCAGAGTAGATTGTGCCTGTGTGTAAGGCTAGAGCTTTGTAAATTTTATATACAGTCATGGCCAAAATTATTGGCACCCATGAATTTTTTTCAGTAAATCAAGTATTTCTCACAGACAAGTATTGCATTAACATGTTTTACTATACACATGTTTATTCCCTTTGAGTTTGTTGGAAAAAAAAGGGAGGAAAAAAGCTCATTTTACATAATGTCGCACAAAACTCCGAAATAGGCTGGACAAAATTATTGGCACCCTTAACTTAATATTAGGTTGCACACCCATTGCAAAAATTGCTTCCTACAACCGTCAATAAGCTTTTTACACCTCTAACCACGAATTTTCGACCACTCTTCCGTTGCAAACTGCTACAGGTCTCTTATATTGGAAGAGCACCTTTTGTCAACATCAGTTTTAAGATCTCTCCACAGGAGTTCAATAGGTTTTATTTATATATATATATATATATATATATATATATATCAATCCGGTAGCTAGCTCTCTGCAACTCTTACATGGTCGCCCACTGAAGCTAAACAGGGCTGTACCCAGTCAGTACCTTGATGGGAGACCACAAGGGAAAAGCTGGGTTGCTGCCTGAAGTGGTGTTAGTGAGACCAGCAGGGGCCACTCAGCCTGCGGTCTGTGTGGGTCCTAAAGCCCCAGTATAGTTAAGGGGACTCTATACTATTCAGGGAGCGTCGTCTTTCAGATGAGACCTTAAACCAAGGTCTTGACTCTCTGTGGTCATTAAAAATCCCAAGATGTTTTTCGAAAAAAGATTAGGGGTTTAACCCCGGCACCCTGGCCAAATTTGCCCACTGGCCTCTGTCCATCATGGCCTCTTAACCATCTCCATATGATAATGGGCTTCATCACCTTCTTTTCCACCAATCAGCTGGTGTGTGGTGTGCAGTCTGTGCATCAGGTGGATGAGGAAATCCCACCCCAAAAATGTGTAAAGCACAAGTGTCCAAAAAAGCGCTATATAAATGTAAGAAATTATTATTATTATTATTATTATTATTATTATTATTAAATCAGGAAGATTTTATTTGTTTAGCAAGGAAGGAATAAATTGATCATAGACAGTAAGGACTTTTTTAAGGATAAGTTTTTTTTTTATTGTTTATGTTATTTTTAATCAAAGAAATAAAAAAAATACGCTCCATGTCTGCAATAAAAAAATAAATAATAAATAATAAACCTGTTTTTGTTCTGTCTTTGTAATTCTGTTGCACTGTTGAAGCTCTGTCATGAAAACAAATTCCTCCTATGTGTGAACATACCAGGCAATAAAGCTCTTTCTGATTCTGATTGTGAATCTTAAAGTAAGAAAGTCAATGAAGTTGACTAGCAGGCAAAATAAAAAGCTTATGCAAGTTTATATCCAGCTTATAAGTGCATATCCAGCTTAATATTAAATCTCCATGAAAATCATTGTGCTTATTTAGTAAATATTCACTAAATAACATGTAGTATATTCCGCTGTCGATTTGTAAGCTTTTAAGGGTCTGTTGTCAATCGAATACGAACATAACACCTATATATTGATAGACAGACTAAATGGTTGTTTGTGTATAAACCTGTCTTCATGTGTATGTGTGAAATCACATGTGCGTGTCCATCTGTGGTGGTGTGCGGGCGTTTAATGCATATAAACACGTGCTTGTGTGATGTGCAGATGGATCTCGGTGCTGACTAATAGTAAGGAGGAGGCTCTGAACATGGCATTTCGTGGGGAGCAGAGTGCTGGAGATGACAGTTTGGAGGACTTGACCAAAGCCATCATCGAGGACGTGCTGCGCATTCCTGGAAACGAAGTCTGCTGTGACTGTGGGGCTCCAGGTTAGCCAAGTATTACGTTTGAAAGTGTTATTGCAATTAGGGCTGCACAATATATAGTTTAGCATCAATATCACAGTGCGAATCTGCAATAGTCACATCGCAGGATCTGCAATGTAGAGTTGAGTTTATTGTTAGTCAGAAATTACAGTTCAGGAATTTAGGAGTCACTTCAAATTGTACCCTTACAGCAAAAGCTTATTTGCATTTGTTTTTAAGACCTGTGACTGTGTACGCATTCCAAGCAAATTTAAGACAATTTGGTACAATATATTTAATATTTGTAGCCTAAAAATTAATTGTACAGTACAATTATTTACACAATGAAATTATTTTACATTTGATTATTTCATTTCTGTTTCTGAATACTGTTTGACTCCCTAGAAAAGAATAAATCATTGTTTATTTAATTTGTACCTCTGCTTTGTTGCATTTAACTTGCTTGTTTATTTTTAATCAAATTTTACGCAGAGACATTCCTCTACAAAATCATCCAAATCAATCTAAAATGATCAATTGCTTACAAATAGAGCTATTCTGGTGAGATTGTATTCATACTGGAAAATATAAATGGCTGTAAAATTAAATATTGCAATGTCTGATTTTCTTCAATATTGTGCAGTCCTAATTTACCCTTCGTTAAGCCCCACCCTCTTTAGTTACTGTTGCTATGCCTGTCAAGCTTTCATGTCTGGCATGTCTATTGCAGTATGTATGCGCCGGTGTCAGACATTCCCAGGGATATAATTAGTCATTTTTGGCAAACAGGTGAGATATCCGATTAAAAAAAAAAGACTGCAGTATGCTTTATAGGGGTTTATTCACGACATAATACGCAACTGATTAGAAAATAATTTCATCAAAATTAAAGCTAGGTTAGCCTAGCCATCTCATACACTGACCATTCAACAGCTTAGCTCATGCACAGCAGGAGAGGTGAAATTTAAAAGTAATCTAATAACTGCAAATTAAAGCGTGATTTCCCTTTTTTTTGCCAAAAAGCCTGATAGATTAATTGACGTGCAATGAAATATAGCATTACTAACTGACGAGGAAACACGGATGGACAGTGCTACTACATATTTCATTCACAGAAAGAACAGCCAGAAAGGGGAAATTGAAGGAATTGTGCAGAATATTACCATCATTGACCAATAACAACGCACAGTACCTAAAACTGTCAGTATGTTTGTGTGCTTTTTATCAAGTTTCTATTCTAATTAGCAGTTAAGTGGAAAAAAATAAATACATTGAAATGCAAATCAAAGTATAAATAGCAGAAGCGAACAAATAGATTTTCCCTACCAGCAAATATTAATCCGACACAAAATATAAAAGCAGACACTAACCCGGTATAATGCTGTCACCAATGACTAAATCTCTAAAAGACGGACAAAAACATCAGTGAATTGTAGGCATGGACATGAGGGTTATAAATGACTGAAAAACAGCTGCGGGTGAAGTATATTGACTGCAAATGCTTAGATTGTGATCATATCTCATTTTTTTTCTGTTAATTTCAAATGTGCGTAGCTTAAAACAGATGAAAATATGATTGCTATTAGTATGACTGCTATGGTGAGGGCTGAAACGGGTCAGTGTTCATAATATTGAGCGGAGAAAAAAAAGACAGCTGGGAAACATAACCTGCTTTGTATTTTTGTAGGAAACACAGTTTAGATCTGTTTAGGGTAAGAGGTTTGCGAGTTATTGCCATCTATCACTGAAAGTGTTGGGAATATCGAAAACAAAACCAACTTAACCCCTCTCTTTTAGCTCCCCTCACAGAGATTGGGTTTTAGGTTTGAAAGGAAAAAAAATTCCATCACACCGTCCAAACTTTTGGGATACCGGGTATCAGATTTACACAGTCCATATACACAACACTTTGGCTTGTTACCCTCACTCGAAAGCTTGACAGACCTCCTGCGTGTCACTACGGTTGCTTAACCACGATTGGTGTGTGGCGGTTTTCATGTGTGGCTTATCGAAGGTTCAATTGCAATAAAATCTGACACAACTTTTCCTCTCTTTATCAATGCAGCAAGTAGGGATACAATCTATTCATTATATAATCCTTTAAATCGATTCACTTTATCGATTGCCAATAATGCATAGACATCGTTTACATGCATAATTTGGAGATAAATGTGTCCAAACAATGGCCCTTTTACATTCACAAGAGTTTTTCTTATTATGCAAAATTGAAAAGAAAATGACACAGAGTGACAAAACACTGCTCACGTGTACACACACATGCACCAATTGTCAGTGTTACACTTCTGAAGCTCTATTGAAGTTGTATATTAGACATTACATTTAATGATTAAGTGCTTCAATTAAAAGATCAATCGTTGATGCTCCTTACAGTCCTACTAGCCCTTAATTCACTGTAAAATCATTTAATTTGTTGATGTATGCTTGTGTAATGCTGGTGCATTAATAAAAATGATCTCATCATCTACTCTTCCTCATGTGGTTTTAAACTTTTATGAGTTTCTTTCTTCTGTTGAACACAAAAGAAGATATTTTAAAGAATGCTGGTTGCTGGTACCCATCGACATCTATTGTAGGAAAAGAAAAACCACAGAAGTCAATGGGTACCAGCTTCCAGAGTTCTTCAAAATATCTTCTTTTGTGTTCAACAGAAGAATGAAAGTTAAATTAGTTTTTAACATGTGAAGGGTTAGTAAATGATAATAGTTTTTAAATTTTTGCTTGAAATATCGCTTTAAAATGAATAATTAACAGTTTAATTGTTAATCTAATTGGAAATCAATCATGGGATTTCCTCTATTGTAAGCAGCAAGTTATCAGGACAAGGTTATTATAGATGTTTGCGCCACCTTGTGGCTCACAAGTGAATGGCAGGACACTCTGCCCTCCACAGCTATAATAAAAGACTGAATGTTCTTCCATTCTATCTACTTTAGAGCCCAAATGGTTATCCACTAACCTCGGCATCCTGACGTGCATCGAGTGTTCAGGAATCCACAGGGAAATGGGAGTCCATATTTCGCGCATCCAATCCATGGAGCTTGACAAACTTGGAACCTCTGAACTCTTGGTAAAACTCGTCAAATGTTATTTTTATAAGGAAATTAATACTTTTATTTAGCGAAGATGCAGTGGTAGTGTAGACATTTATAATGTTACAGAAGAGCGGAGCAGTGGGTAGCGATGTTGCCTCACAGCAAGAAAGACGCTGGTTCAAGCCTCGGCTAGGTCAGATGGGATTTCTGTGTGGAGGTCTCCCCGTGTTCGCGTGGGTTTCAACCACAATCCAAAGACATGCGCTATAGGTGATTTAAGTAAGCTAAAATGTCCGTAGTGTATGTGTGTGAATAAGAGTGTATGGGTGTTTACCATTGATGGGTTGCAGCTTGAAGAGCATCCACTCTGTAAAACGTGCTGGATAAGTTGGCGGTTCATTCCGTTGTGGCAACCCCTGATGAATAAAGGGACTAATCTGAAAAGAAAATGAATGAATATTACAGAAGATTTCAAGTTTATATAGTGATTGTTTGTTAGACATTTCTATTAATCAAAGACTTCTGGCAGAAAATATCATGGCCTACACACAGATTCTAAGCTGTTTTCATCATTGATACAATAAAACACATATTGTTAGGTTCCAGTTACAGCCAGGCAGAAAATTAAATCACAAACAAATGACATGTTTTGTATAATTGGCCAGACATAAAACTTAGAGTATGAACATATACCTCTTTAAAAACCTTTAGAATAGAGATATGAATAAAACTATAAGGCTGAAGTGGAGATTTATGGTTTAAAAATATATATTTATACTTGAAATTTACAGACACAAACTGATAAAATGTGATAAACACTTAACCCTCTACTGGGCAAGGAACTTAACTTACATTGATTACAATATATGTTTGTATAAGTCATAAAAGTTTAATAGTCTTGTAATTAATTCTGGTAACTCAGTTTTTTTTATTTTGGACATTTTTTATTTTTTTTTTAATTAAATAAAATCTGAAAAAAAAGCCCCAAAAAATTGATAGGTGCATCAAAAAACAGCATCTTATCTTAAATGGTCTTATGGATCCTAAATTTATAAACATTATTTACACTTTAATGTCTTTTGTTTTTATTTTTAGATCAGCTCTTAGCTGAATGTATGTTTACTTAGTGCCACACACAAATTTTACATTCATTCATTTACTTCCCTTCGGCTTAGTCCCTTTATTCATCAGGGGTCGCCACAGCGGAATGAACCGCCAGTTCATCCAACATATGTTTTACACAGCGGATGCCTTTCCAGCTGCAACCCAGTACTGGGAAACACCCATATACACATTCACTACGGCCAAATTAGTTTATTCAATTCACCTGTACTGGATGTCGTTGGACTGTGGGGGAAACAGGAGTACCCAGAGGAAACCTATGCGAACACGGGGAAAACATGCAGATTCCAGACCCAGCCGAGACTCAATCCAGCGTCCTTCTTGCTTTGAGATGACAGTGCTAACCACTGAGCCACAGTGTCACCCAAATTCTACATATGCTTTGTTATAATAACTTACAACTTCTTGTGATGTCTCCCCAGCTGGCTAAGAACGTGGGCAACAGTAGTTTCAACGAAATATTAGAAGGGAATCTGCCGAGTCCTTCACCAAAGCCAGCGCCATCAAGTGACATGTAAGTACCAGCCTACCTAGAAAACATTAGGACATGTAGACAGCAATATCTGTAGAGTAGTCCATCTGTTTAGTAGTTATTGTGCTAACTCATACAACAGTAGCTAAAAGTAATGTCCAGATGAGAGCGTTTGCACAATAATGGTTTTAACCCTACAAGTGCTGTTAAAACCATCAAAATTATATTGATATTGATATGATTGATATTATTTGACACCTACTCAGAAAATTATTTGATTTTACTTTTTAAGAAATGCATAATAAAACAAAAAGCTCACAGGAGTTCAAATATATTTTGACTAATAATTAAATTAATCCATATTTCACTGGATCTAGCAGAGATTCTAAATCTACTTATTTCCAGCGAAGGACGAAGATTGATTTTCTAATGAATGTTCAGCAGAATGTGCTTTGAAATGCTGTTTTCAAATGCATTCCTTCAGGACCGAGAGGAAGGAGTACATCAATGCGAAGTACGTGGAGCACAGGTTCGCTCGGCGAACGGCCACTACAGCCACAGCCAGACAGGGCGACTTGTACGAGGCGGTGAGAACGCGAGACTTGATGGCTCTCATTCAGCTCTATGCAGATGGAGTGGAGCTAATGGATCCTTTCCCAGAAGCAGGACAGGTATTGATCTCTGACTAATAGTTTGTCATGGACTAAATGATTTATACATTTAACTATTTAGAGAAATATGGCCATTTGTTCCTTGGAGAGTATATCAGCTGATTTCAGGACAGATGACTTGTGTTGCTTCATTCAAATGGGACCGGCCTGAGGTTAAAGAGTATTTCAGTCCTCGGCAAGGCATTTTATGTTTAAAATCTCTATATACAGTTAAAGTCAGAATTATTACCCCCACTGAATTATTAGTCCCCCTGTTTATTTTTTCCCAATTTATGTTTAAAAGTGGAAAAAAAATTCCAACACATTTGTAATAATAGTTTTAATACCTGATTTCTAATAACTGATTTATTTTATTTTTGCCATGATGACAGTAAATGCCATTTGACTGGATATTTTTAAAGACACTTCTACACAGCTTAAAATGACATTTAAAGGCTTAACTAGGTTAATTAGGTTGACTAGGCAGGTTTGGGTAATTAGTCAAGATATTGTATAATGATGGTTTGTTCTGTAGACTATCGAAAAAATATAGCTTAAAGGGGCTAATAATTTTGACCTTAAAATGGTTTTTAAAAAATTAAAAACTGCTTTTATTCTAGCCGAAATAAAACAAATAATACTTTCTCCAGAAGAAAAAATATTATCAGACGTACTGTGAAAACTCCCTTGCTCAGTTAAACATCATTTGGAAAATATTAAAAAAGAAAAAATAATTTAATTTGTGGCTAATAATTCTGACTTCAACTGTATATCCTGGGTAAAGGCAATGTTGGTGTTTTAGAAAAGAGCCGCCCCAAAAAACAACAGAAATATTTTATATGAACTACAGTTGTCTACAATGTAAAAAGTGATAAAGTGCAGCTTTCTAAATGTTACTTAAGGCAGTGTTTCTTAACCCCATTTGTGGAGGACCACCAGCTCTGCACATTTTCCAGTCCCCACCAAACACACCTGATTCAGATCACAAGCTCATCAGCAGAGAGGGAAAGACCTGTAATGGGTGTGACAGACAAAGGAGACATCCTAAACATGCAATGGTGGTGGTCCTCCAGGAATGTGGTTGAGAAACACTGACTTAAATTTACAAAAGTAAAAATAATATATATATATATATATATATATATATATATATATATATATATATATATATATATATATATATATATATATATATATATATGATCAATATGAAGTGTACACAAAATATAAGCAACAAAATACAATGTAGTTGGCTGGTTAGTCAACTTTTCATCTCCATTTTTGAACATGCATGGAAAAAGGACAAATGATTGATGTTCGCTATTTAGATTACCGTCCTGGTCATAGTTAAACTATTTTATTTAATTTATTAATTAGGTATTATTTTCTACACTATTCAAAATGCCGGATTTCACACAATTTCTTCCTGTTGTCCTAACTGAATTGTTTTTACAGCTTTAAGTGGATTGAACCTAAAACAATTAGGTATTTTTTGAGAAAGAATATTTTAACAATAATTATTGTAGAAAAGCACTATACAAATAAACTTGAATTAAAAAATAATGGCAAGAATGTGTTGTTTCAGACAATTTTAAATAAGTAGTTTAAAAAAGCAGCCAAAATGTTGTTTTAAGTGTACAATGTATATGTATACAATTAGATTGATTTGGAATTGCGCAGAACCCGTTTTTTTCTTCTGCTTAAAAATGATTACTTGACCTTGTAAAAATGTTGAAATTGTAATTGGCTCCTCCACAAAAAAGTAATAAGTAAATAATTTAAGGTGGGTATTACATAGTATTTATAAAAGTTTTCCATGTAGGTCTGTTAGTACAGAAAATAATCAAATTTCTTATATATGGTTATATTACCGTTGCATTGTTTTCCAATCAGATTTTTTTGTCTTTTGCTGTTGTTATTTATGCAGGTGTACAGTATTAAGCAGTTTTCACATTCAAATAGAATGCACAGATCTAATCTACTGATGCACATATGTTTTCTTAAGACATCATTGACTGTGTTTAAATTGTATATGTTTAATGTTGCCATAATATTTGAGAAATTTGTCTGTTCAATTAAAAAAAAATATATATATATATTATTTGCGCATAAAAAATTCAGAGTAGCATCTTTTATGCATTTGTATGGTAAAGAGACACACAAGTGGGTACACTTTGAAAAAAAATGCTCTCATGAGTCATTCCCTTGTTATTTTTGTGGCCTATATTCCGACTTTGTAGCTTAAAACAGCCATAACTTGGGGTTAAAGGGTTAGTTCACCCAAAAATAAAGATTACTAATTAATCAGCCTCATGGTGTTCTAATCTCCTAAGACCTTCAATCCTCTTCAGCACTCAAATTAGGATATTTTAAATGAAATCTGAGAGCTCTTTCATCCCACATAGACAGCTGCAACCTAAAAACATTCTCAAAACTTTGCATGTGACAAAGCACTAATATTTTCTAAGAATCTTCTGGCTCATTTAAGAGGATCTGAAACTTGCTTGTTCGCACTTGGTCAATTGAAAGAACATGCTTTATAGCACATTGACGGTGCATCCAGAAAGTATTCATAGCTCTTCACTTTTTTCACATTTTTTTATGTTACAGCCTTATTCTAAAATTGATTAAATTCATTTATTTCCTCAAAATTCTACATAATGACAATTTGAAAAAGAGATGATTTTTGAAATTGGTGCAAATTAATAAAAAATTTACAACCTGAAAAATCACATGTACTTAAGTATTCACAGCCTTTGCCGTGAAGCTCTAAATTGAGCTCAGTTACATTCTGTTTCCACTGATCACTCTTGAGATGTTTCAGCAGCATAATTGGTGTTCACCTGTGGTCAATTCGTTGATTGGACATTATTTGAAAAGGCATACACCTGTCTATATAAGGTCCCAGGGTTGACAGTGCATGCCAAAGCACAAACCAAGCATGAAGACAAAGGAATTGTCTGTAGACCTCCGAGACAGGATTGTCTCGAGGCACAAGGCTGGGGAAGGTTACAGGAAAATTTCTGCTGTTCTGAAAGTTCCAGTGAGCACAGTGGCCTCCATCATCTGTAAGTGGAAGATGTTTGGAACCAGCAGGACTCTTCCTAGAGCTTGCCAGCCATCTAAACTGAGTGATCGGGGGAGAAGGGCCTTAGTCAGTGTGGTGATCAATGACCTGATGTTCACTATGTCTGAGCTCCAGCCTTCTTCTGTGGAGAGAGGAGAACCTTACTGAAGGACAACCATCTCTGCAGCAATCCACCAATCAGGCCAGACGGAAGACACTCCCTGCCTGGAATTTGCCAAAAGGCATCTGAACGACTCTCAGACCATAAGAAACAAAAATCTCTGGTCTGATGAGACTAAAATTTAACTCTTTGGAGTGAATGCCAGGTGTTATGTTTGGAGAAAACCAGGCACCGCTCATCACCGGGCTAATACCATCTCTACATTGAAGCATGATGGTGGTGGCAGCATCATGCTGTGGGGATGTTTTTCAGCAACAGGAACTGGGAGACTAGTCAGGATAGAGGGAAAGATGAATGCAGTAATGTACAAATGGAAATTAACCTTCAGAGTGCTCTTGACCTCAGATTGGGGCGACGGTTCATCTTCCAGCAGGACAATGACAAAAGGACACCGCCAAAAAAACAAGGGAGTGGCTTCACAACAACTCAGTGAATGTCCTTGAGTGGCCCAGCCAGAGCCCAGACCTTAATTCTATTGAACATTTCTAGAGAGATCTGAAAATGGCTGTACAGCGTCACTTCCTATCCCACCTGATAGAACTTGAGAGGTACTGCACAGAGGAATGGGCAAAGATTCCCAAAGACAGGTGTGCCAAGCTTGTGGCATTGAATTCAAAAAGACTTGAGGCTATAATTGCTGCCAAAGGTGCATCAACAAATTATTGAAAAAAATGTGGAAAAATGTGGAAAAAAATTGTAAATGAATGCAAATATTTCTCAGTAATTTTTTTTGGTTTTGACTCTCTGTGTACAGGACCCGGGAGAGACAGCTCTGCACTTTGCTGTTCGGACATCAGACCAGACTTCCCTGCACCTGGTGGACTTTCTTGTCCAAAACAGGTAGTAGACATAACTGTGGTGTGCATTTGTTGCTCACTAAGAGATGATTAACATGCAGGAAGGTGAATATGGATGTTTGTATGTGTTTGTGCAGTGGGACTCTAGACAGACAGACGGAGAGTGGAAACGCTGCTCTCCATTACTGCTGCACATATGAGAAGCCAGAGTGTCTCAAACTGCTGCTCAGGGGAAAACCGTCTATTGACCTGGGTAAGTAGATTAGCTTTGGCTACACACTGACAATGTTTTGACAGAGACACAGAAAAAAATTAAAGACAGATTTAAATGTGATGTTGTTATGTTAAACTTCTTCAATTGATTCATTGTTTGTCAGAGTTTATTAAAAACAAACATTTCTGCAATCATTTTTAATTATTATTATTTCTGCAACTTTTATGAAATCAAAATTAACTCTTCTTATTTGAAGAAGAGGTATCTACAAGGTATAAACAAGGTATCTTTGCATTTCATTATTTTGTGAAAATTTCTTTGTCCTCATCTTTAATCAAATACCATAACTTTACCTCCCCCCTCAAAATGACTTTTGTTCACTTCTGGTCAAATAAACTTCAGGAATGTTTAAATTGGATGTATATCACAATATGTGGAAAAAGACAATCTTAACGTTTGTTTCATGACAAATTTTAGTCTAAATTTAGGCCAAATTAAAGTATGATTTAAAAAACAATTACACTAACCCCAAAAAATCACACAGACATTAACAATTTAAGTATTTAAATTACAGCCGAGTGTCTTAGTGTCCCACCAGTGACGATATACAGCCACATTGCACTGCTACAAGTGTGTAATTTTGTTTACACAACAGTTCAACGGCACCATCATGTACATAAAAAAAGAAAATCAAGCATGAAGACTCTTAAAAACCATTTTGTAAGAAGAACTACTTTCTTAACCCCATTCATTCACATCTGCAGCTGACGTCAGAACAGCAGAAACCATTGCTCATTCACCAACGTCATTTTAGAGCTAGTATTTGAATGATTCTCTAGCGTAATGTCTAAAGTGATGACAAAACAGGTGATTTTTGCACACATTTTAAGATTATAAGGCTGAAGGGCATGAAACGCCATCAGTCTACAGAGATTTCCCAGTATTTCTCTGTTGCAATCAGGAGATCACAATAATTACCCCTGAAAAACCCAAAGTAATGCAAACACTACCAGTTTCTGTGCTATAAACACAGCACTACAAAATACAAAAGAGAGAGAGATTAAATTAGAATGTCGCTTACCTGATTTATAATGTTTTGATCAGCTGTAGTTTGAAAGTTATGTTGAGAAAATGCAGAGTTTTTCTTCCTCTATGGACTTATTATGTGGTCTCTGTCGTCATCTTGTGGCGAAAGTCAACCGTTTACTTTGGTCTGCTCAGACATTCTCATGGCAACTGATGCACTGCATATTTAAAATTAGAATTTTTTTTAAAATAGGCACTATCCTTATAAATAAACTGCATAGTTGCAGACTAAAAAATTACATTTTGCGACTAAAATGCCTCGAAATTATGCTTTACATTATGTTGTCCAATAGCTGCAACATTTGTCAAACTGTAGAGTGTCCTCTGCTTGTCGCTGCATGCGGGTGGAGGAATACACAAGGGTGAAGGGTGATGAGGTTGTACTAGTGCTGTTATTTGCAGAATATAGCACGGCTATCAGCCAATCAGTTTGGAGAACCAGACAGAACTGTTGTGTGTGTACAAACAGTTGAAGTAATAATTATTAGCCCCCCTTTGAATTGTATTTATTTTTTTAATATTTCCCAAATTACGATTAACAGAGCAAGGAAATTTTAACAGATAATCTGATAATATTTTTTCTTCTGGAGAAAGTCTTCTTTGTTTTATTTCGGCTAGAATAAAATCAGTATTTCCTTTAAGCTATATTTTTTTCGATAGTTTACACAGAACAAACCATCGTTTTATAACTTGCCTAATTACCCTAACTTGCCTAGTTAACCTAATTCATCTAGTTAAGCCTTTAAATGTCACACTAAGCTGTATAGAAGTGTCTTGAAAAATATCTAGTAAAATATTATTTACTGTCATCATGGCAAAGATAAAATCATTTATTAGATATGAGTTATTAAAACGTATTTTTAGAAATGTGTAGAAAAAATCTCACCGTTAAACAGAAATTGGGGGAAAAAATAAACAGAGGCTAATAAATCTGACTTTAACTGTGTGTGTATATCTATATATATATATATTATAGTACTTTCAAGGAATTATTTGAGCTTCTACAGAGGTTTATAGATCTCAACTGAAAAAACAGGCCTCTGGGACACACATGTCTGTCTGCATGCTTAGAGGCTCATCTTTCAATATGTTTCATTCTTCAGATTCTTTTCATATTCATTGAAGTTGACACACCTAACCTGAAAGCTTTGAGTTTTGCATCTTGTTCAGTTAAAATTTCTGTTATATATGCAAATCAAACATGGACTTTCTGTATTTTATTTCAGTTAATCAAAACGGGGAGACAGCATTGGATATCGCCAGACGACTGAGAAATGTACAGTGTGAAGAGCTAGTGAGTGACGTATGGTTTTTCTGTTAATTGGGAAGAATTTTGCCATTCAGCCACCTTCAGCTTCACTGAACAATTGTGTTTTAAATGACACAAAACATGACCTTTTGTGGCATTAGAAGTGTATTATGTTAATGGTTCTGTGATTGGATTGTGCAGCTGGTGGAGGCAGCAGCCGGGAGGTTTAATCCTCATGTGCATGTGGAGTATGAGTGGAATCTGCGGCTGGAGGAGATTGATGAGAGTGACGATGACCTGGATGACAAGGTTTGTGTGTATCTGCCTTCCACTTTATCTCATAACTCTCTGTACTGGAGCTCCACTTTACTCTGCTATCATAATATAAAACGCTGCATGAGAAGTACAAGGAGTTAATTCATAATTTAGTGCTTGTTGCTGGAAATGGAATTTTCTCCTTAACTATGTAAAATATGTCATCATTTACTCACTCTCAAGGGGTTTCAAACCTGTATAAAACCTGTAAGGATTGTTGTTGTTCCATAAAAAAGCAGGGAAACAAACTAGTATATGTTTGGAACAGCTTGAGTGTAAATAGGTAGTGATTAAAGATCTCTTTATGAAAGCATAAGCAAAAGTATAAACAAATTTAAAACACGAGCATTGTTCTGTAAAAACAAAACATGTACAGTACTATGAAAAAGGGCAAACATACATAATATATATATATATATATATATATATATATATATATATATATATATATATATATATATATATATATATATATATATATATATACACACTTACTGGCCATTTTATTAGGTACACCTTAATAGTAATGGGTTGGACCTCCCTTTGCCTCCAGAACTGCCTTAATCATTCGTGTCATAGATTCAACAATGTACTGTAAATATTCCTCAGATATTTGGTCCATATTAATATGATTGCATTACGCAGCTGCTGTAGATTTGTCGGCTGCACATCCATGATGCTAAGCTTGTGTTCCACCACATCCCAAATGTGCTCTATTGGATTGAGATCTGGTGACTGTGGAGGCCATTTGAGTACAGTAAACTCATTGTTCAAGAAACCAGTCTGATATGATTCGTGCTTTATGACATGGTGTGTTATCCTGCTGGAAGTAGCCATCAGAGATGGATATACTGTGGTCATGAAGGGATGGACATGGTCAGCAACGATACTCAAGTAGGCTGTGGCATTGACACCATGCTCAATTGGTAGTAATGGGCCCAAAGTGTGCCAAAAAATATTCCCCACACCATTACACCACTTCCACCACCAGACTGAACTGTTGATACAAAGCAGAATGGATCCATGATTTCATGTTGTTGACACCAAATTCTGACCCTACCATCTAAATGTTGCAGCAGAAATCGAGAATCATCAGACCAGGCAACGTTTTTTCAGTCTTCTACCATCCAATTTTGGTGAGCCTGTGTGAATTATAGCCTCAGTGTTCTGTTCTTAGCTGACAGGAGTGGCACCTGGTGTGGTCCTCTGCTGCTGTAGCCCATCTGCCTCAAGGTTCAACATGTTGTGCGTTCAGAGATGCTCTTCTGCATACCTCGGTTGTAGCGAGTGGTGATTTGAGCTACTGTTGCCTTTCTATCAGCTTGAACCACTCTGGTCATTTTCCTCTGACCTCTGGTATTAACAAGGCATTTGCGCCCACAGAACTATCGCTCACTGGATATTTTCTCTTTTACGGACCATTCTCTTTAAGCCCTAGATATGGTTGTGCGTGAAAATCCCAGTAGAGCAGCAGTTCTGAAATACTCAGACCAGGCCATCTGGCACCAATAACCATGCCAACTTTAAAGTCACTTAAATCACCTTTCTTCCCCATTCTGATGTTTGGTTTGAACTGCAGCAGATTGTCTTCTTGACCATGTCTACATGCCTAAATGTATGAGTTGCTGCCATGTGACTGGCTGAAATTTGCTTTAAAAAAGCAGTCAGACAGGTGTACCTAATAAAGTGGCCGGTGCGTGTATATACTGATATTAAATTTGATTAAACTGCAGTTACTTATGAAAATGTTTACATTTACAAAGGGGTTCAATCAGAGTATTTTCTTTAAGCCAATGCTTCTCTGATGCTTTTAATGATGAATTAATTATTAATAAAATAACTGAAATTTACTAAAACAGCCATTTTAAATAGCCAAACTTTATTATTACTCTATATTTTGGTTCCAAAATAACCTTTCCAACAATCCTGAAAATATATTGCTGGTATTAGGGTAATGCACATATAAAATCACTTATAAATGCATATTTGAAGCTATGGGAAACTCTTGAGTTAATGTCTATATGAGTCACATTAAACAGTTAACAATTGAGTGTAAAAAGGCCAACAATATGCCTGTTCAGACACTGAAAATGATGAGAGCTTTAAAGTGTATCACAAATACACTTTGAAAAGTGGCTCCTCATTTACAGAGATCCATGACTAGACACATAAGAACTGAAAACACCATTAAGAATCAAAACATTGCAACACTTGAACATGAAAGCACACACACCTCCACGTCAACATCACGTATCCACAGCACCACCTAATGCATTTGATTGTAATTGCAACTTTTTGTAGAAGATGTTGACCACTTTAAAAATCTACTCATGTAATGTCATTTTTTTCTCAATCCTCAGCCCAGTCCAGTGAAGAAGGAGCGTTCTCCTCGTCCTCAGAGCTTCTGTCATTCGTCCAGCGTGTCTCCTCAGGAGAAGTTAACCCTGCCGGGGTATCTAGGACACAGGGACAAGCAGAGACTGTCCTATGGAGCCTTTGCCAACCCCGTCTACAGCACCTCCACCGAAACCCCTGCATCTCCAGTGTCAGAGGGACCCACCATAGCCAGCAAGACCCCTGCAAAAGGTAAAATGCCTTTAAAATCTGTATGCATGGGCCTGACCATAAGAAGAGCAAGCTGGACAGGTGAGGGACGGTTGTTGTAGATTTGCATGTTGCAGCATCTTTTATGTTAACTCTAATTGCGGGGGAGGTGTAAAATGCAATCAGTTGAACCTTAAGCCAAAACTCAGCTTTGGTTTTTAAGCTTATACTATAGTACATGTACACTACATATGAAGCATATATGGAACGCAATGAGGGCCAAAATCTCTCAGATAATGCCAACACACAGTTTTTCCATGTAATTGTGGCAATTTTGTATGTGCTTATTATGTGTAAAGATGCCAAATCATTACATAACACTAATATGACACACAGTTTACAAATGCATTATCGCTGTCATGTCACAAATGTAAATATGGTCTTAAACCTTTGACATACTAAAACAGTAAAACTGCATGTTGATGCAAGCAAATTTCAATCCCTTTTAAATGAGCACTTGAGGTGTGCAGCTGTTCCAACACTCTCGAATACGTTTTTGAGCATGAAAGTGAACTTGCTCAAACATTTCACACACTAATTGTTGTCCACTCGTGATTGGATCGACGAAAACGCATTTTATTACCAGATGTGAAAAGGGCCAAATATACAGTACCAGCAACTCTGTTTTTAATGGGTGCAAGGATATTTTTATTGCTTGCAGCTTTTGAAGAAAGAAGGTTCAGACATGATATAAGGATGAATCTGCCTAGTGCACATGTTTTGAACGCATGCATTCATGTGCTCTTTCAAATGAAACCTTCAAAAAAGCCTGTGTCACCTGCAAAAAACACACCAACTTTCAAAGTTGGGCTCAACTCTGCATGATAAAACAACCTCTTACACCACAACCACTTGTGCTTGCTGAATCTCTGTTTAATCGAATCAGATTTCAGTCCCCCACCTACATTCTGGAACCATTCTGATGTTTTTTAGAATAATTTGGTGGTGCTTATCTCTTTACACTCCACATATGATGATGGGGTACTGTCTTTGCTCTTGTGCTCTGGTGCACTCGAGTCTTCTTGCTTCTGAGCCAATCACATCATCATATGGTCACTGTTTCAGCTCCGTCCTGTGGGCCGCCCACCTCTCTGCCGCTGGGATCTCAATCGAGTGCAGGAGGCAGCTCCACTCTGTCTAAGAAGAGAGCTCCTCCTCCACCTCCCGGACACAAGCGCACCCACTCAGATCCCCCCAGTCCCGTACTGCAGGGTCCGCAGAGCAAAGGTGCGTTCAGTTTTGTGAATGAAGAAACAACATTTCGTCGCTAACTCTGCCACAAGGGTTTGAATACAATGAATTATGAACATATTTTCTTTTTCCTCACCCCACAATGAGAGTTAAAGTTGTTCATCTCCATGTAATGTCCATATTATTAACTTATGGCTGTTATTTTAAGCTTACAATAATAATTTTTTTCAAAATGGCTTTTAGTTTTATTTATGTTGCATTTATTTAAATATTTTATTAAATAATAAAAATTGATGCCGTCCTAGCTTTAACTAAAGGAATAACTACAATTAAAATGGTGAATCAAATTAGTTAATAATTGTCATTAGATTGAATTTGTTATTTGGGATCCAAGTGTATATATATAACTATATATATCAGTGCTTCCCATCGTTTTGAAATATACTTGCGGTAATAGCTGAATTGAAACACACCATTTACCCACAACTCTTAAATAGTTAACTATATGCGACAAACAAAACTATTTAATTTTTAACAATAATTTTATTTATCATGACAATGTTAAACACTGTTTCTTTTCAATTGGTTAAAGTAAAAAAAGACTGTCAAAATAAAAAAGAATCCACTATTTGTCTTACTTTCTATTCAGGAGCCATGTGCACCCACTGACAGGTAAAATCTGCTTCCCTTTCAAGTTCAAAGCAAACTTGAATGCTAAAGCATTTTAGAAATGTATATAATAGCCTATGTAATATACTAGCACCATCAAATTAATAAAATATACAGAAAATGAGAAATAAATGACAGAAAAAGGAATAAAAACAGACGATGTCTCTAAAAATGTTTATAATTGCAATTTTAAAACGTGTAGATTATTTAAATAGGGCAGTTGCGTTGATTAACTATTACTACTGGTGTACATATGTTTTGCAGACAGTTTAGACCAGTCATTTCGTCGTCTCTAAGTACATAGTAACGTTTTTCTGAGTCATTTAAATTCAGGAATTAATTGTTTAATGTTTCTGTGAATAACTGTGCATGTGCTGTCAGCTGCAAAGCCAGTTAAAAGTAGGCTTAAGTAAAAAGGTAATGCAAAAACGCATACAATTAACGAACGAGCAAATTTCATTTTAGGAAATTTAGACCGCAGTTACACTACACTGTTCAAGTGACTCAATTCCGATTTTTTTTTTCTTCCATGTGGCACAGATCGGATATGGCCCATGTATGTGCAAGTAGGAACAAATCACATTGATTCCGATTTACTCAAATCAGATTCAGGCCTTCGGATCTGTGTTCTCGTGTTTGCAGTGTAAGCAGATAGATCAAATTTTCACCTGTCAATGCAAGTCAAGCATCATTAAAAACCATAGAGAATGACGTCAAGTCTGACACTTTCATTTCAGAACAGACTTCAGCAGAGTCCCTAACTTTAAATCTCATACACGAGCACTTAAACAGCTTTTATATTGACTTATTACACAGGTATTTAAGCAGGTTAACGAGAGCGAGAGAGTGCAATGTCTGCAAAGTAACCAATATAACCTAATATAAAACTAGTGCAAAGCTACATCACGTGCATAAATCACGCCATGGACATTACATTAAGTTGCTTAAAGGTTTAAAAAACAGCCTATATATCAAAAAAATGGACAAACGAGAACCTTTCTGTCATAAACTTTAGTAAAACAGCTTGTCAAAAGCTGCGAACAGATTACATACAGGAATAGAGGAAAGAGCGCTTTTTTATTATCAGCTGTTTGTCAGCACCTGCTCTTTTTTTCCAGGTCATTTCCCCTTTTGCTGTGTGCTGTGTAAATGCAGACAATCGGATACGAGTCACTTTTAAAAGATGATGTAAGCAGGTCATCAAAAAAATCGGATACAGTCACAAAATTGGAATTGACCATCAAGATCTGCAGTGTAAATGCAGCCTTAGAAACCCGGCCGAACAAATAATTTAAGTCTCAAAAAGGCACAGCTATGTCGGCCTGCAGAGCATGTGAGACTGTCTGTGGGAGTGTTGACAGTTTACACGCGCACAGAACGATTTTCCCCTACTTAATTGATCGCTGATGTTTGGTTATGCTAGGCGGATACAAAATAGTGTAAAAGCAGGATAATAATAGTAAAATAAAACATGTCAATAAATCCAATTGGGTGGTCGTTAATATATCTAACAACCCACCCCCTCCCCACCCAAGTAAAGTCTATGTGTGGGAAGCACTGGGTCAAGAATATAAAGAAATCTGTGGCAGAACAGGTTATAATCACCATTTTAATTATATTTAATGCTGTAATTTGATTGTGTTGATGCTTTTCATGCTAGGTTCATTAGATGTGATCAAATATATCTTGCTACATTCATTGCATGTTAAGTGTAGTGTAATGTCTATTATGTTAGATATGCTTTTTATAATGTTTGAGGACACTAAATTCTATATTTTCAAGGTTTCCCCAATCACACTCCACAGTTTTTATATTTTCCAGAAAGAAAAAAGTATTTATTGAGCTAAAATCTGTTAACGCAATTCTAAGCATCATCTTTATCTTTAAGGTGTTTTGATAACATGATGGTTGCTGGGGCACAAAAACAAGAGTGTAAGATATGACCAATAAAATAAGGGAACTTCAAACTCACTTTAAACCACTTCCTGTTTTATTTTGAACCTCATAGGAAGTGAGTCCACACCTCCTTCTGCAAATCGGACATCCCCGGCCAACAAGTTTGAGGGAATCCAGCAGCAGCAAAGGTGCTGATTTTTGGACATGCTGAATCTCTGAATTTCAACTCATTTTCATGCTGATGAAAAGGCTGCGGTCTTAATTAGAAAAATTTGATGTTTTACATTTCCTGATTAACACTATTTTCACTATTTTCATTCTCTACTGCCAGTTTCTTAACTTATTACAGTGTTTGGTTTTACAATTTAATAGTCCTGTTTGGCACAATGAACATTGTAAATCTTTACTGTGCCTTTTCATTTTAATGTTAGCTTTATGAATCCATCATGAAGATTTTGTTTGTCTGATTTTTTTTTCAGCACTACGTCTATGAACACAAAAGCAACATTTGGCCCACGAGTTCTTCCCAAACTACCTCAAAAAGGTTTGTTTTTTATAACATTAAGGGTGCATTGTTTCTTTGGTTCAATTAAAACAGAGTCTGGTGCGATCAAAATTCAATGTCTAGTCAGTGTCTAAGGACAACGTTATTTTGATATCAAATAGCGACGTTAAAATTAAGTTGATATTTGGTTGTTTTGGAAAGTGACCAAAATCCAACGTCTGATAGACGTCATAGTGGTAACGTCCACAAAATGTCAGGGTGTAACATGATTAGACATTGACATTTGGTTGATTTTAAGTTAGACGTGGGAAATTGACACCGGACTGAGGTTGGGTTCTGATCTCAACCCCTTTTATATTTCCTAACAAAATCCAACGTTGGGGTACAACGTTAATATGACATCATGTTGATGTCCTGTGCCTGCAGGGGAGACGCTACAAATCACAAGATTAGATTTCTCTGAAGGAGCAGCATGTATACCAATCAAAATTAGCAAAGGACAAACAGAGCATGTTTGCTGTTAAGATTTTTGCTCTCACAGTTTTGCTTTTTTAACATTTTATGTTAACACTTTGTAAATTTTTAGATGGGTTAAAAATCTATATATAAAGTACATGCATAAAAATATAATGTTTAATTAACAGAGCTTTCGAATTGACGTTTCTGTCCCAAAATAAACAGCATGTCATAAAAGCTGTACAATCAGGTTGTGAACGTATCCTACAGCTATTATGTTTCTTATTTTTTGGCTAGTTGTTATAAATTCTTGTATGAATTCTCAGTTAACCAATGACCTTTTTTTTTTTGGTCCAAATGAACCATGCCACAAGTAAACACACTATCAAGAATTAAATGATTTATATATATACTTTACTTTTAACTTTAACAGGGTGTGTGTGGGGTCTTAAAAAGTAATAAAAGTTGATAAATCAATTATGAGAAAATTAAGGCCCTTAAAAGGTATTAAAAAAATCTTTATCATGTTTTTTTGAGGTCTTAAATTTAGTTTAAGCATTGTCCAAAGTGTTTGACTTAAAAAAAATCATAAATATATTTATTTTCCTAATATTAACAATGGCATCCCCAATCCACTCCATTGGTTTGGTCCGGTGTGCATAAGGCCAAGCTCCTCCGTGCGGGTGATGTCACGTAATTTGCGAAAACCATACAGCGAAACAGACGTCAAAATTGGAAAATGTAAGTTTGTATTCTCCTGGATAGAGAATAATAAGTTTAAACAGCGGCTGAAGCCTGTCACTGTAAACAACCGCCTAATTTATTCTTTAAAGTTTTGTTTCTTCCGAGCTTATCTGAGTTCTTATGCATGGTTGTACTCCATTGATTTATTTAACTACAACTTTTTATTAACAGTGGTTTATTAAGTTAAAGGTTTGATACTGATTTAAACTTAAAGTGGCGATGAGGTCTTAAAATATTCTGAGAAGGTCGGCGCCAGTGGTGTAGAGGTTAGTGCGTCAACACATGCACTCAGGTGCTCATGGCGACCCGAGTTTGATTCCGCCTCGTGGTCCTTTGCAGATCCTTCCCCTCTCTCTGCTCCCAATGCTTTCCTGTCAATTCACTCTTCTTTCCTAACCAAAATATAGGTAAAAATGAAAAAATAATTATATATAAAAAATCTATATATACATATATATTCTCAGAAAGTCTTAAAAGGTATTGAAATTACCTTTAGCATTCCTATATATGCCCTGTTTAAATACACCTATGTTTCTCTTTCAGTGGCACTACGAAAGATTGACACAATCCACCTCCCATCAGTGGACAAGTCTGGTCCTGATGTGCTTCAGAAACCCCCACAGGCCCAGGATGCACCTCCCACCAGAGCCTCAGATACAATAACCAGACCCACTGAACCTCCACCTAAAATTCCACAGGTCGCAGAACGATCCCAGCCTGTGGATGTCCCGCAGAAACCGCACATCTCAGACCTTCCTCCCAAACCGCAACTATCAGATCTTCCCCCCAAACCCCAATTGTCGGATTTACCACCAAAACCTCAGCTTTCTGACCTGCCCCCGAAGCCTCAGCTTAAGGATCTTCCCCCTAAGCCGCAGATCAGTGATCTGCCATCCAAACCGGCCGTGTGTTCTGCATCTGAGGCCACACAAAGGCAGTCAACGCAGGAGGAAACCAGTCCGAAGCCCCAGCTGACGGAGACACAGTCATTCAGCCAGCAGGAGGAGCTCTCACCCCGACAGGCCAGCGAGGACACCAATGGAGCGCCCGCAGGAGCCTTGGAAATGCCAGTCCCAATGCCACGCAAAATTAACACAGTAGTGAGTAAAAGACGTGTTTTATGGGTCAAAAATGGAACGTCATCAGTGTAATAGATATATTTGTTGTAAGAACGAAACATTTATTTTTAACTGTATACAAAATTTAAAGCTGTTGGAAATATGCATTTTCAATGCCCTTTTCATCTTTGACCCATTTAGGTAAAATGGATGCACTTCCAAAATCTTTTTTTCAAACCACATTTTATGAATTACTATTGTTTTATGACTACCAAACCAAAAAAGGGTTTAAATTTAACATTTTAAGTTGTGGCTTAAAAGACTAATGATTTTATTTTTCCGATATTAATACTTTTTTGCACATGGAAAACATTAAATTATTCAAAAGTGAAAGTAAAATTATTCAAAAACGATCACGTTTCCACATATATTAATCAGTGAAAAGGTTTTCTGATAATAATTATGTTTTTTTTTTTCCTGAGAATCAAATCAGCAAATATAAACAGTGTTTAAAAGATTTATAATATAAAACTGAAGACTGGAGTAATGGCTGCTGTTATATTAGCATTAATAGATTTTAAAATATCAGCATTTTAAATGTAAAAAATATCATAAGCAGTAACTGATAACACCCATTGATTTATTAGAAATATAATGCACGGCCGACGTGAATAAGAGTGACTGTTACACATCAGGTGTGCTGCATTATTTTCTAGTATTTTAACAGACTAGAGTCAATTTTTATGCCTATATTTTGGATACCACACCGTAAAACACTGTTCAGATGTTTATACTTCAAAACATTTGTGGGCTTTTTGTCCTTTATCAGTTCCTGTCTGTAGTTCTAGTTTCTTATGCATCTAATCAAGATCCTTTTACAATTAATAACTCCAATCCTTGTAGTGATATGAAACTGTCAACAGTCAAGACGTACTTAGAACTACTTATCTAAAAGTAATTGCACACCTTATACCTGGATAAGTTAGTGGTTCATTCTGCTGTGGCAACCCCTGATAAATAAAGGGACTAAGCTGACAAGAAAATGAATGAATGAATAAATATTAGAGGAAACCTGAAAGTTTGATTGCTAATACATACTGGGAAAAAGTCAACAGGTTTAACACTAAAATAACTGGAGTCTGTGTCTTTTGCAGGCAAAGAACAAAGCGAAGCGTGTGAAAACCATCTATGATTGCCAGGCAGACAATGACGATGAGCTGACTTTTGTGGAGGGCGAGGTTATAATTGTCACAGGAGAGGAAGACCAGGAGTGGTGGGTGAGTAAAGCTGTGCCGTTTCAATCAGTGTATACTGTTAAAGTGGTAGATCACACAAAAGAAAATCTGCTGTTCATTTACTTACCATACTGTTAAATTGGAAGCGTTCCCAAAAGAAAAAATCTAACTTACTTACACTTCAGCCATCCAAAATGTAGATGACTTTTTCCTTTCAGTAGTACAAGATTTTTAACTGAAACTGTGGATCTTGGTGATTCATAAAGTGCAAGTTGAGTTCTTCAATCAAAGTCTGACCATTTGCTTCTGCTTTGGAGTGGCATTGTTTTTATGTTGATGTTAGTTTGATGGCTTCAGCCACAATATTCTTAACCACGTCCCTCTTACCATTAGTTTGCTATGAGAGAATGATGTGCAAAAAGAAAGCCCCTCCCCCTACTCCCTCGTTCTAAGTTGGATGTACATCAACACATTGGAGTAAAGTCTTGTGACGCCTTTCCACAGTTGGAATACACGCCTTTGTGGCAGTCACACAGAATTTTCAGTTTTGTTGTGCACTGTGGCAGAGAAGCTGATTCTCGCTGTGTCAGAAATAAAGGAGTGCAAAAGCAAGAGCCTTTATTCTTTGTGTGTTTACCATGGTTGAATGAATGAATAAACAAATACTAGAAATTCATAGACCGTTGAAAATTTTGGAGGGAATGTGGAGACCGCATTTAAAATAATATTTTTTATTACTCATTCATGAATAGAAATCTGTTTTTTTAAATACAAAAGGTTCATAAAGCTTTTTAGCTTAAACACTTACTGCCAGCTAGCGTTCCGGAAGTATCATTGCAGAGCTACAGAATCAGCACAGAGAAGTATAAATGCACAGCTACGCGCAGGGCAGGCGCCGTAGGTCACGCCGATCACTTGACGCAGAAGTAAATACCAGGCTTCAGTGTGACAGCCTTCTTGGATAGAGAAAGACCACGTCTATGACCTGTCATACCACACTGAGGTGATCTCACATGGAAAGGTAACTATTTCACGTTTGGTCAGTTTTAGGGCTAATTCGTACAAGTTCAGTTGGAAAACACAGGAATACATCACGTCCAATCGGCCGATCACATGATATAGTTGCAAAAGTTCAAATATTTTAACGGATCCGCAACTCAAATCAGATTAGAATTTTCTGCGAACAGGGATTATCAGAACTCCACGCAGCTCTTGGAATACTCTATATTGGAAATGAATGAATTCTGTTCTGTTGCTTGTCGTTGTTGTGTGCAATGGAAAAACGGCTTCAGCAACTTCTTTAATGTTTTAAGAAAAAGTAACCCTAATCATCTTAGCCTCGGGGAGAGTAAATGAACAGCAAATTTATTTATTTATGAATGTTCAATTAATGTATGCAATTAAATCAACCTGCATTTTCACAGATCGGGCACATAGAGGGTCAGCCTGAAAGGAAAGGGGTCTTCCCAATGTCCTTCGTGCACATTCTGTCAGACTGACAGTGCATGACCGGCAGCCGAGAGGCTCTCTAACTAGCACAAGCTCCGCTCTCTCTGGCCTCACACTGGACTGTGGGCATTGCCTCTGTACATAGCTGCTGAAACCCAAACGGTCTCCAAACACATACAAAACATGAAGTATCAAACCCATGCTCCCTTAATCCTCAAGGGTGAAATGTGTAAACTATGTGTTGTTCATAAACTGTGTTATCCTGCCTACCAGTATTATCGTAGCCATGGCAGCCCAGCATGCCATAACTGGGTTTGCAGTAGCTATACTTGGAAATCTAGCACTTAACATGTATGCTGTAACTTTGTGTATGTGTACACATATAGAATTATATGTATGTCCATTTTAAGTGTGTCTTTGTACATACATATGCACAGACGTAAGTGTATATTTATGTACGTATGTATAATGTACAAGTGTGCAAATGTATGTTAACCCTGCTTGCTTATGGAGCCAGAGTGACTCTAGACATTTTAGTGTACTGTTTTAAATGAAGAAAAACAAAAGAAAACAACTCAAATCATCTCTTAATTTTTTGGAAGGCCTAAATAATAAGCAAGATCACATAAATGCTACACCAGTGCTGAAATTCCCAGCATAGTGGCATGCTGGTCAGGGATCGAAACCAAAATGTAAAGGTTTAAACATCTCATCTGCTATATGTAATCAGAATATGCATTCATTCAGATTGCATCACTTGCATCAAAGCCCAGAAAACCTCTTTATTATAATTGCCTCTGTAAGTAGGAGGACAATTTACAGCCCTCGAATATTGCTGGCATACTCTTAGCACCTTGGTATACTCTTAGCGAAATTGTTTTTCGTTCTTCATGTAGAGGATAAAAGACATTTAAAAGTCGCGGATTACAGTTAGCGAATATCCCAGTGCTCCCCATACTGTTTGCTTTCTTCCCGATGTCAGAATAAACATACAACTAAACTGATAGCGCTGAGAAAACAGCAGCTAAGACAGCACCCGCGTAACCCCGCTGGTCCTACAATACCAAACCTACTCTGAGCTGGGATCAAACTGGTGAAACTCATTGCTTCTGCTGCATTCACCCCCTTAAACCTCATTCCTGTTTGGGTCACGGCAGCAATGTTACCCTGCCGGTCTTACACTACCCTGCTCGCTCTGAGCTGGAATCGAAACGGAGATTCTTTGTATGGGAGTTGGTTGCTTTTACAAGGAGGCTAAAGACGATGGCCTTTAGCGTTTGTCGCTGGAGCACCTTTAGAGGTCAGAGGAGTGAGGTTTACCTGCTCAGCACTTCACTAGCTTTCCTCTGCTACAATCACTCCCCTAAACCTCACTACTATCCAGGTCACAGCACCAATGTAACCCTGCCGGTTCTACACTACCCTGCTGGCTCTGAGCTGGGATCAAATGTAGCGATTCTTTGTATGGGAGTTGGTTGCTCTAACAAGGTGGCGAAAGAGCATGGCCTCTAGCATCTATCACTAGAGCACCTTTAGAGGTCAGAGGAGTGAGGTTTACCTGCTCAGCATTTCACTAGTTGGCCTCTGCTACAATCACTCCCCTAAACCTCACTCCTATCCAGGTCATGGCTCCGATGTTACCCTGCCGGTCCTACACAACCCAACCTGCTCTGAGCTGGGATCGAACCGGCAATACTTTGTATGCGAGTTGGTTGCTCTTACAAGGAGGCTAAAGACCATGGCCTCTAACATCTGTCGCTAGAGCACCTTTAGAGGTCAGAGGAGTGAGGTTTACCTGCTCAGCACTTCACTAGCTGGCCGCGGCTACACTCACTCCCCTAAACCTCACTCTCACCCAGGTCAGGGCACCAACTTAACCCCGCCAGTCCTCCACTACCCAACCCGCTCTAAGATGGAATCAAACATGGCGATTCTTTGCATGGGAGTCGGTTGCTCTAACAAGGAGGGTAAAGACCATGGCCTCTAGCATTTGTCACTAGAGCACCTTTAGAGGTCAGAGGAGTGAGGTTTACCGGCTCAGCACTTCACTAGCTGGCCTCTGCTACAGTCACTCCCCTAAACCTCACTCCTATCCAGGTCACGGCACCAATGTAACCTCGCCGGTCCTCCACTAGCCTGCCCGCTTTGTGCTGGGATCGAACCCGGCGAATCTTTGTATGGGAGTCGGTTGCTCTAACAAGGTGACTAAAGGCCATGGCTGTCGCTAGAGCACCTTTAGAGGTCAGAGAAGTGAAGTTTACCTGCTCAGTACTTCCCTAGCTGGCCACTGCTTCACCTGCAACTTGGCTCTTTAGTCAAATCCTGCCACATGTATTTTTTTTAGCACTTTATATAGAATATAGCTTTGAAGTAGGCAGCTTTACAGTGTTAAACATGAAAAAAACAGTGTTAGCATTACTTCAAATTAGAATTACGCATCACTTTTCACAATAGTGCAGTTTTTAGTATATTTTTAACCATGGATGTCCGACTTTCACAGACTGAACAGGGGTCACAGAGTCACACCTAAAAAAAATTGTAACCCAAACTTGTTTACCAGCTGAAGAAAGCTCAGTTTGCTCCTTTGATTCAAACTGGTTTTGTTCAAAGTCAACTTCTCTTTAAGTATACCAGGGCTTCAACCTTAGTGCTTCATAAGCAATATTCATATACTCTCCAAGCAATTATGCTCATAATAAGTAATAATTTAAGGAACCACTAAAAAATCAAATGATCAAAACGTTTCAGTGTCTACAAGGTGGTTACGGCTTTGGTTGCATCTGTGGGATCGCTTCATTCCTTGCCCCCCATGTTTGTTTAATGCCAAATCTGACAAAACCGATGCCTCAGACTCTGGGAAAGTGTCCTTGTCAAAAGATCATACAATAACCTACCTTCTTCATCTGGTCTCTGGTGATTATTCACCAATTGTAAAGCATAAATTATAAAGTGTATGGATCTGAGTGGTCAAGTGTTGTTGGCTTTATCTAGTTGAGCAGAACGCAATCTGTTACAGGTCGCTTATAGGATGAGTTTTCATTGTTTGCTTACGGTGACTGTGGAATGTGATTTTTCTTACTGTTTGTTTTGTTGTTTTTAAGTTGAATTGAAGTGCAAGGGGACCCGGCGGTGAGTGACTGACTGTCCGTGTGACTCAGAATGAACTAACGCTGCCTCTTATTTTCGTTACCCTATCAGGGAGACCAGCATTCACTCTTGGTTTTTAACTGTTATTGTAATAACAGCAACAACAACAAAGAAGATGTATTAATGAATGCCATCTGTACTATATTTGATGATGACAGTATTTGACATTTATAGGGCTAAAGTGTTTCAGCATGGAGAGGGACGGACCCTTCAAGTGTAGTTTATTATTATGGGTTTTGTTCTTCGGTTTTAGGTCATGTTAATATTATTCAATGGATGCATAACAGAAACACCTCCAACTTCAAGATTGTGGAATAATGTTCGCTACCGAGCTGTTTTTGTTTCAACCCTATTGAATAGGCCACTGTTGGAGCGTGTTTTGTCTGTTTCGATGTTCAGTCCAGCACAACTCCAGATGATCCGTTCTTGTGTCGCTAATATTGTAGCATATCAAAGCCTGGAAACGGTCAAGAGGACAACTTCACATTTAAGTGAACAAACTGGATTGATTCAGTCCTAATTTTACATTTAGGATGGATTTTGCCACTCTCTCTTACTTTGTTTTTTCTTTGTCTGTGTTTGCTACACTGTAAGTTCAGTCAGAAAGAAAATCAAACTTGGTTATCAAGTCTTCGAATCCTAAAATAAAGACTTTACGTTGAAACCATGAAGAATTGTTGTATTCTTTATTTGTTTATTTTGTTTGTATTTACTACTGGGCTCTGATGTTTTCTTTTGAACTTTTAGTAATCTAAAATATTTGTTAATAAAATGTTTTTTTTTTTTACTTTAAAATAAAAATGTACCGAAAAGAAGCTCCCTAAATTTGTTATACACTTTACCATTTATCAATAGTGTACACAAACTTGACTCTGTATTCAACATCTTTACAGTATCAAACATTCTTGGCATGAAAAGATGTGGTAAAGTATTTGAATACTCCTTTTACTCTTTTCTTAAAATCTCCTGTTTTGTGTAACCCTGATGTACCACATGCTATTTCGAACATTGGTTTTTAATCATGGAAACTAAAGGGGATTTTAGAATTAGAAATATTTAACAACAGGAATGGGGCCGACGCAATGGCGCAGTAGGTAGTGCTGTCGCCTCACAGCAAAAAGGTCTCTGGTTCGAGCCTTGGCTCAGTCGGCGTTTCTTTGTAGAGTTTGCGTGTTCTCCCTGCATTCGCGTGGGTTTCCTCGGGGTGCTCTGGTTTCCCCTACAGTCCAAAGATATGCGGTACAGGTGAATTGAGTAGGCTAAATTTTTCGTAGTGTGTGAATGTTTACTAGAGATAGGTTGCGGCTGGAAGGGCATCCGCTGCGTAAAAACATGCTAAATAAGTTGGCAGTTCATTCCGCTGTGGCGACCCCGGATTAATAAAGGGACTAAGGGACTAATGGTCTGCATAATCACACTTTTTGAGGTACCAAAAACATTTGTTAAATACATAGAAGAAATATGAATCAAGTACTTATTTTTCAAATACACATTTATCACATAATATATCACTAGAAAAAAAAAGGAGTAACAGTTTTAAATGAAAAAGAAAAAAAACATTTTATTAAAACACAAGTTTATTAAAAGTATTAAAATAAATTTTATAGGCCACTTTTGGTGCTTTAAACCCTTTATTTTAGTGCTTTAAAAGTTAGGCTACTTGTAGTGAAAGATGACTTCACTTTCGTCATATTGTATGTTTTCTTGCACAGCTGGATGTTTTTTTTTGCGTTCATTGGAAGCCTTCAAAACATTCAAAATAAGACAAATGAGCTCATGTAGATAATATTTTAAATAATTTAAAATTGTTACTTTATTATTTTTTGTGTTTTTAATAACTTTTCATGATGAAGAAATAAAGCTTCACTTCGATCTGACAAACTGTTTTTTATAAAGTGAAATTGACAATCTGACAAACAATACAACTACTGTATTACTAAATTAACATGCAAAATATTACTTATAAATCATCATTTAATATGCTATTAATATTGAAGTTTAATATTAGATCTTTCTAATGACAGAAAACCCACTTTGGTTTGGGAATTACACCAAACCCACAACTTCACCTGTTGTAATATGTTTGAAATGTTTCTATATTTTATTTCTAAGTATAAATTAACTTTAGCTTGTTTCAGATGAAGCATTTGGCAATTTCATCGATTTCATAATAGTTAAACTAGAATAAAATCAGTTAATAAATACAACTATACACATATTTAAAATATAAGCTACAATGCAAACATGCCAAATTCAAACTAATAAAACCTGATTTATATATGATCAATTTAACATGGAAAACACCAAACATTGATAATACAACTATATTTTAAATGATGTATACTTATTAAAATATATATTTTTTCTATTAATAACTTCTTATGTTGAAGATGTAGAGCTTCACTTGGATCTGACAACCTGTTTGCCTTTTATAAAAGTGACATTGACAATTGTTTCCTCAAAAAGTTAAAAACAATGATATTTCTATAATTTATTTATTTACAATATCATCAATAATTAACAATGAATGTTGTAAATCTGACAAACAAGACTTATGTATTACTAAATCAACATGCATGCAATGTATTACTAACGAATGTAAGCAAGTTTAATATTAGGTTTCTTAAATATTTGAACTCTTTCTAATGACAAAATACCTACGCTTTGAGAATTACAACAGACCCACAACTTCACTTGCTGTAATGAGTAAGCAATTCAAAATATAAACCCCAAACAATCCATCACCATCATCTTTGCTTCGTCGACAACGCGCGCGTTTTGTCGCTCTCCTCGCTCTCAGTCTGTTACCAGCAGCTTATCTGAGCTCAAAACAACATGACTGAAAGCAAAATTATCCACAACAGACACAAAGACCGCTACTAGACGCATAGTAAAACTAGTCTGCTTCCTCTCTCGAAATCAATTCCTTTTATAGATGTAGGCAGAGCCTCTTTAGCGCTCAACCTGCGCGTCAAACGCAACGCTTCTGATGGGCCAATCCGGAAAATGTAGACACACACACGCCACATCTTCACAATGATCCGCTGAGCAGGGTGTTCTTCAGCGGTTCCCCATATTTACATTTCTCTCAGTTCACTGGAAATTAAGGTAAGAATCGTGGATTAACGTGCAATTTGCTTTCCATTATGAGCCTGACACCTGGCGCGAGGCAATGCTTGTTTCTTTCAGGTCACAGGTGACACGACTCCTAAACTTTAGCGACATTAAATGAAAGTAAAGCTGAAAGTAAAGCTCACTCATACTTTAAATATTTAAGATGTGCAATTTTAAGCTTTTACGTTACTTCAGAAAGTCCGTTTGAGGAAAAGACTTTCGCTCAGTTTTCACTTGACTTCAGGTGCGTTCTCTTTGTATTGGACAGAGGTCACAGATACATGTTTTTTTTTTTTTTTTTTTGGCGTTATATGTATCATATTTCCGTGTTGTGTAACTTACACTTGTTTTATGCGTATTTACTTGCTGCTGAGCAAAAACTAAGTGAAGTTTTTGTGTTAAAAACCGACACTGCTTTTAAGAAGAGAAGCATGGGTGCGAGTTTTCAGACTTCCTCTGTGTTCAAATAGATCATGCCACTTCCTGATTTTGTTTATTCAAAACACCATTTCATTTCACAGCAAGTTCCTACATTTCTCTTTCAGCCATGTTCCCGTCTAGATTATTCGATGTCTGAATCCGAAGATGTGTTTTTGACACGATTTGTGCCTGTTTTAGATATGCTAAGAAATCTAACATTAGGCTGTTTTGATATGCAGATTGTTAAAATGACTAATTTATTGGTTCATTCAGAAAAAAAAACCGGTAAACAGATTTCCCACACTTTTAGGCCAATGAACTTCCATACCTTCTGATGACCTTTCGATATATTTGTGATGATTAAACATGATTTTTTTTAAAGATAATTTAGATTCAGGTATAATTTCTTATTAATTCTATAACTAACTGGTTTAACTCTTAATTTGGATCAAATGTAAACGAACCACACAAAGATTAGATTAGAAGATTAAGCCTTTAACGTTACTTGTTCATTAGTAGTTCTTTTTCAAGTTAATTATTTAAACTAATAGTAATAATAATATCAATAATAAATGTCAGTAGGTGGTTTTTAATAACATATTTAACAACTATTTCAGGTTTTAAATAATCATTTTAACCTCTTTTTCCTTTTTCCCTTTTACACAAGTAGCTTACATAATGTAATGTGTTTGGAATTTTTTTTATATTAAGTGAGGAACGCAGTGTTTAAAGCTCAACAAAAACTTTAACAAATAAAACTATTTACTTTGCAGAAATATAACTTCTTTTATAATTAACATTATTATTGTTGTGTCATAAGCAATAAAATTAACTAATCAACAAAACTATTAAAGTCTTTGAGTGTTAGTTGTTTGACTCTGAACATGAAACTTATCTGTTTGCATTACTTGAATTTTCTTGCATATTGTTAATATTAATGATTAAATTAATATTTAACTTTCAAAATGTAAAATCATAGGAGCTCTAAATAAATTCACAGCTACATAAAAATACCTTGTTTGTTGTTTATGCACGTGTTAATAAGCTCATTTGTACCATGTTGTTATCCTCCTCCACGGGACAGCTCAACTGTTTGTGAAGTGAAAGGCCACAGGTTTTAATTAGTTGCGTGAACTATAAATATTGACCCAGCAGCTTTCATTAGGACCTAAAGACCAGTGGTCAGCATTATACAGCAACACACATGAAAACACGTACGCAATAAGCAGACAAGGCAAATGCGAAGATTACCATATTAACATATTTCATAAAAGCATATTATAAAAAACTCATTTACTGTATTACTGGACAGATATCAGCTTTGGTAGGTTGACAATGTTTTTTCTCATATGGTTGTTTATATGGAGCCGTTTTGCAGCAATGCCACCTGCAAAGATCTAATCACTGCGAGATGCTGATCAATAGCACAACTTTGTGCAAATAGTTACTTGTGACGTCTGCAGTTGTGGAACTAGTGGAGCATTCCTGTATTGCAGGGTTTATCTAATGCAACTTTACATGCCCTGAAGGCATGTGTGACTAACTTAAGCAGTACGCCCTTTGCTAAGTAGCTTTTATCAAGGATTCTGACTAGAATTTCTATGTATTTTTATTTTTAATTTTAATGTATTTTAAATGTTTTATTTAAATTTTGGAGGACATGTAGAATCTGTAAACACAAGACGTTAAACAAAATTACAACAAAGTAAAAAATTAATCTGTAACTTATTAAAAAAGGTTGTGAAGGCTCATTACATTTTATTGTACCCTAATTTACATGACCAAATCATACAATCTATTATTTTCTAATAACTACTAAAACACACACATGCACACAGATAGATGTACAGTTATATACATACACAGTGGTGTAAAAAAAGTTTTTGCACCTTACAGATTTCTTATTCTTTGCAAGTTTGTCACACTTTGTTTCAAAATTACTTATTAAGGGAAAACAAAATACAACTACTGTGTGAAAAAAGTGTCCGCCCCCCTCGTTAAAATAACTTATCTCTGGTTTATCGCACCTAGGTTTCATTTATCTAGTTACACCCAAGCCTGATTACTGCTACATGTATTTTCACAGTCAAGAAATCACTTAAATAGGACCTGTATGACAAAGTGAAGTAGACCAAAAGATCCTCAAAACCCAGACATCATGTCGAGATTCAAAGAAATTAGAGCTGCTCAATTAATCGTTTAAAGTTCGCAATCTCGATTCGACCAACTAGACAATCTTAATCCAGCATTTCTACGACTCTGCCAATCATGCTTTCAAGTTCAGGAGAGAAGAAAAGGAGGCTGCACAACTCTTTAAATTGTTTCACACACGTTGCTCAGTGACATTATGTTGAATGAGTCACGTACTGTATTTATAAGGTATAATTCACCTAAAACTGCCATTTTTGTCTAAACATGATGTTTTTGCGATCTGGAAATCACACGTGCATGAGCTGCTGACCGTGAGCTGTTATCACAGAGAGCGCTCTACTTAATGATAGACGCACACGTCTACTTTAGTGAACACCTGCATATGTTGCGAGTAACAGGTAACACAGTTACAAATAATATTCAGTTTGTGGCACAAAGTGATCGTTTGGGAGCCGTTCACGAAGTATGATCAAGCACATTGCAGTCAAAATGAAACTGAAAGAGTGCACTTCATTTAAATGATCATATCGCATTTTAGAGTTATGATTACGACAAGCATTTGATTAGTTTTTTCTTTCATAGCGAACCCACAGTTGTGCATGAAAATAAATGTTTACAATGTCAGTATAACTACTCTAGCCTATATATTGTTGAATATAATCTGATAATGGTAAATGTCTAATTTTACCAGTGAATAAAATTGTCTAATATGACAGATTGCAAGCATATATCTCAAACATAATAATTCAACATTAGAATTATTATAAGTAGAACAGAATTATTTATAGAAACCAGTAGACCTACACATAATATTATTATCGATGGTGTGCCATATGTTTGTTTTTACCATACCTTTATTTTACATCTACAGAATCGTGAGAAAATCGTGATCTTTATTTTAAGCAAAAAATTTTCATCTTAGCCAGAATCGTGCAGCTCTAAAAGAAACTCAAAAACAAATGAGAAAGAAAATAATTGAGATCTACTATTCTGAAAAAGGTAATAAAACCATTTCTAAAGCTTTGGGGCTGCAGCAATCCACTATAAGAGCCATTATCTACAAATAGCACTAACATTACACATAGTTTACACATTACAAATAGTAACACTGCATTTGAGAAAAAGAACAACATACCACACTGTAAAACCCAACAGTCAACTTTATCAAATGAAATGAGTGTAGTTAACTTAAAATTTACTGAAAGTTAATTCTATTCATTTGAAAAGAGTTTTGAACTCTGTGTTGAAGGTAATGAGTTAATTAAATACATCATTACTTCAACTTAAATTGAGTTCACAGTACTCGTATAGTTCAGTTTTTCCAACTCAAAGGTAGCAATTGGCTTCCTCAAACAGTTTGAGTTGACTTAACTTGGGTTTTACAGTACTCAGTTGGTTTGAGTTCTCTTCATTTATTGGATTTTACTGTGCTTAGATTGATTAATTTAATCACAGTACTCATTAGGATTAGTTTGAACTTAAATGGTTTGTTCCTTTTGCTGTTGTAGTGGTAAGGTCTGGGACAGTTTTGTTGCTTCAGGGCCTGGAAGACTTTCTGTAATAAATGGAACAATAAATAAAGCTGTCTTCTTTAATATCATGAAGGAGATGGTCCGGCCATTTGTTAGTGACCTCAAGGTGAAGTGAACTTGGGTTCTGCAACAGGACAATGATCCAAAGCACATCAGCAAATCTACTTCTGAATGGCTAAAGCAAAACTAAATAAAAATTTTGGAGTGGTCTAGTCAAAATCCTGACCTGAATCTAATTGAGATGCTGTAGGATGACTTAAAAAATGTCGTTGAATTACAACAATTTTGCAATAATGAGTGGGCCAAAATTATTCTACTGCACTGTAACAGACTCGTTGTCTATTAAGTTATTGAAAACGCTTGATTGCGATTGTTGCTGCAAAAGGTGGCCAAACCAGTTAATGGTTTTAAGGGGCAAACGTCTTTTCACACTGGGCCATGTAGTTTTGCATTTATTTTCCCTTAATAATAAACACCTTTCAAACTTGCATGATGTGTTTACTTGTGTTATTATTGACTAATATTTAAATTTGTTTGATGATCTGAAGCACTAAAGTGTGACAAACATACAAAAAGCAAGAAACTAGTAAGAGGAAAAGACTTTTTCACACCACTGCATGTATATGTTTAGTGTAGGCTTAAATATTGCGGTAACTGGTGAGTTTATTCTATCTTGCATGTAGTCTGAGAAGTGTTGTGAAGGAGGGAACCTTTTTTTGTGCTTGTTGAACTTCCTGGTTATGCTTTGTGGTTTTACAGACACAATTTATTGGTTTTCAGACAAACAAATCAACAGAAACTTGACACCTATTTGTGGCTAAAAGTCTTTCTGTTCTTCTAGCTCAAGAGCTGCCACAGTTACATTCAAATGGGCAGCTTACTTGCATTGCA